GACGCTCTTTGAAATGCATATTGTGGTTTTGCTTATTAGATATTGCACTCGGAGAGTATTGGTCACTCAGTTCTTTTTTATTTTCTTGTTGGGTTTCAGGCTAGGTCTCTCTATAATGTTCCATTTTCTGATGATGAACGTGAGAAAATTAAATTCACAGTCCAGGTAAACCTCTATTCCTATCTGGCTATGGTTTTAGAGGCTCATGAACGATTTGAAGAACAAATGCTGGAAGAGAGTCAAGAGACGATGAACAATCAGTCTGCCGAACAAAATGGTAAGGCTCGAGACTATACAATCATATCTATGATGAATGTGACGATAAAAGTTGTATTGTCACTAGACAAGCTTTAAGGTCAACATTGTGTGATGCACTTCACTGCAGGACAAACCAGTGGCAAGGCAATTAGCTCAATAAGTCCGAGACTGAAGCATTTCTCGGATTGGCTTCTAAAAGAGAAGGAACAGGGGAATCTTGACATATTTCCGGCATCAAGTCGTGAGAATGCCCAAACGGTTGCAAATTTGTGGAGGGATCCAGCCATTCAAGCCACATACAAAAGAATCCGTGACACACTACCCCTAAATGCCATATATTTTCTCGAACGAGTAAGTTCCAAACTAGTTGCATGCCTTAGCATCTGGCCATTTGACCCTCTTATGAATCTGTTCTGTTCTGTTCGATTGAATCCCTTCTGTTGCTCCAATTGTTCTTTGGTTAATAGTTGTTGGTTTCTACTCAGATTGTCGAGATATCAAAACCAGACTATGACCCGTCGGATAGAGACATATTGCATGTTGAAGGGCTTGCTTCTTCTGTAGGCCTTTCGTGCGTGGAATTCGCGTTCCCGGAAACATCACATGAAAGCTCCCTTGACCCAGAATATCAACATGATCCTAACACGAGGTTAGGTCTGTCTGTGAAATACCCGTTGTTTCAAATCATAATATATGATCCTAACATGAGGTTAGCTCTCTCTCTCTATACGTACAGGTATGAACTCATCCGGTTAAATCCAAGAAGCCTGGGAGAAAACGGCAAGTTGCTGGAAATGTTTGAAGATGCAGACATGGTGATATTCTGTGTCTCGCTTACAGATTATGACGAGTACATTGAAGACAGTAACGGGGTTCTTGTGAACAAGATGATGGCTCACAAACAACTATTTGAAAGCATAGTGACCCACCCGTGCTTTGCAGAGAAAAAGTTCCTCCTATTTCTCTCCAAGTTCGACCTCCTAGAACAGAAGATCGAGCTCGCTCCTCTCAGAACCTGTGAATGGTTCCAAGATTTCAACCCATTGATCAGCCAGAACCAGAGCAGCAGGCATAACCCTCCAATGGCTCAACGTGCTTTCCACTACATCGGGTTCAAGTTCAAGAGACTATATGATTCTCTCGTGAGCCCTTATTCTGGGCATGGACGAAGCTACCAGCCCAAGCTGTTTGTTTCTCAAATGACTCTGGAGAGTGAAACAGTGGATGATGCCTTGAGGTATGCAAGGGAGATCCTCAAGTGGCATGTCGAAGAAACTTCCATATTTCAAGAGATTTCAACCACTAGCCTCGAGGCCAGTTTATCGTCTTGAATCATCCATCCATTCATCGAGATGGAGAAAACAGGTCTAAGCCTCTTGTCGTGGGAATACAGTCTGTGTGGGTCTGTTGTGTATGTATTCATGGTATAGATAGAGTTCATGTGTTTAGGGTAGGAGAAGATTTCAGTTGAAACCCCAAAATGAGTCAATCTGGTGTAACACAAAACATGCTTGTTCACATCTCTTGTTTTATATGTACATCACTTTCTTTCTGTCGAGGAATCTTGTTGGATATTGGGATGCAGATTCATGATGTGCCATTATAGTAAATGCTAGTGCAGCTTATTAAGAATGCAAGTATAAAACTACATATCAAAGAGAGAGATCTTTGTACGGTTGTGATTTGCAGGTACGGAGCCAGACTGCTTACAAAAACTTTATAGATTTTTCAGGATCAAGAATATGATACATCAGATCGGACATTTGATTTGCCGGGAATTGTAATAAAACCAAGAACACAACTCATGTACAGGTGGGTTGCTGATGTTTAGCATGAGCAGTTAAACCCAGCGATCATACGCACACACACATTAGACATCGATATCTGTACCTATATATACACACATGTATATAGACATAAGGAAACTGATGTTGGGGGGAAGATTCACCAAGGCACAAAACGGTCCATGAGGAGACAAACAGTGGTTTCAGACATGGTTGAGGCTGCTGCAGCTTCTCGTTTCTCAATTTTGTCTTCTTTCACGGCAGCTTCTTCTTCTCCACGGTCTTGTTTGGAGACAGTCTTCGGCTTCTGCATCATCAGCAGTTTCTTGCTGGGTTTCATCTTCTCTCTCAGCTTTGAAAGCTCTCCCATCCACACCTCCATCGCTTCTCCCATTCTTCTTCTTCTTAGAATAATAATGCGAATGAGATAAAATTACATGTGGGTCTATATATATATATATAGAAAGAGAGAGAAAGGGGTATTGTGGTCATTTTTTCACAGAAAACCAGGGGTCAGGTTTGCTGGGTTTAGTTAGCATTTCTTGGACAAAGACGGAGACTTTAGTGTATAGTTTTGGGTCATCTGTGTCAGTACTGATTAAAAAAAAACAGAATGGGATTGAACGACGTTGGCAATTTTGATTGATTGGAGAGCCAACAATACCGAAGGTATGTACGGATAGAGTTACAAAGGATATTACAAACCAATGGTTCCATGCCCACTGATTTTATTCATCTTCCTACGTATATCTTCCAGAATGGAATTATATTTTGTTATAAAAATAAGTTTATAACTCCGACCTTAGCTCAGTTGGTAGAGCGGAGGACTGTAGTGTTTGCAGAATGATCCTTAGGTCGCTGGTTCGAATCCGGCAGGTCGGATAAGTTTTTTGTCTTTTTTTTAATGATATTATTTGAGATATTTACTATTTTGTTTTTGTAGGGTTTGTCGTCTCTCAGTTTGTGACCTTTTTTCTTTCTGTGGGGTTCCACAACATGTGGGGTTCTTTTGATAATTCAATGAAATTGACATTTCAACCTCAAGGACACGTCTACACTATTCGGATGATATCCTTTGATTCTATCTCTTTTGATGAATCATCATCATCATATATATATATATATGTATATTATTTTGAGGGATGTGAAACAATATGAGATGTTAGGTCTCGCACATCTATGTTCTAAAGCTTTGATTTTCCAAGAGTTTTACCCTACAAGACATTAGGACTAAATGGTCTTTCGAATTTCTAGATTTAGAATTCGTCGACGCATTTGAGGAGATTGGGTGTTCGAATTTCGAATACCCACAAAATGTTGTAAAATTTTTCGATATCACAAATGATCTAATTGTCGGCCCCAAAAAAAGAGGTGAATGAGGATGAGTAAAAAAGTATTAACTGTACATAACAAACTTGCATAGGTTATGGAGAGTATTCGAAACCTGCCCATATTTTCAGACAAGCTGACATCTGACAGTTGTTATACTTATGTACCAGTTAATAAAAAGAAACCAAGACAAGATCGAGATGTCGGAGACACGATGGTAAAGGACAGCCTATGCGAGTGGCGAGGACATTGCCAGTATCTTACCCACGGTACCGATAATCGCCGGCCGATATCTGAACCCGAAATTGAGTTCTTATCTGTCATTGGGTCTATACTCACCCCATCGATAGATAGCTATCCAATTTTTGAATACCCGATTCAGGTCTCAATCCAAAAATTACGGATTTCCGACCCAACCTAGACATAGGTATGACAAATGGGGGTCATCAGTCTCGTAACTGAGACGAGCGGTGAATGTAAAACTCTACGGAGTTTCCTTTCAAAAGTCTCATTCCTTTTTATAGTAACTGAACGAAGATAAAAAAAAAAGACACGTAAACGTTGAACTCTATTGTATAGTCGAGGGAACAGAAGCAAATTGGAATACTTCCGTCCAATTGATAATGTATCTCTTGAAAAGCCGGCCGAAACGATACATCAACCACCGCATTCCGCTCCCAAGGTTCGGCGAGAATCTAACAGAACAGATCACCAGACTGACGAACCGACGAGTTTTACCTATGTCGGTCTCATTGCAGAGTTGCATCCGCTTCAACTTTCAGTTCATACCTCCGAAACTTTCACCGAAGTAGCCTCTCTTCGGCATGCCCATGCCCGAGCCCTCTCGAGTTCAACGTTCCCTGGGAATGGGAAGCTGCTTCTTAACAGCAATGGCCCGGTATACTGAAACTTCACAAAATGAAGTGGATCCAGGTGATTGTTGAATCTCCCAAGGCTGTAAAAATGTATCGAACGGTTGAGTAAGTCATCTTCTAAATCCAAGGTGTCCATCCTTCATACATGTTGCAGAGATTATCCAAACTTGTGGCCTGCTTTATTAGATAATCCACCTGTTCTGGAATGCTAATCTCCCTGGACAGACAGACGTCGTTGTAAAACTCGTCAGAATGTTTCTCGCTAATATAGAGTTTTATCGGGAAAGGAAGTTATGGATGTACCTGTTTTCAGCGATGTCTCGGCCATCTATCTTCATCTCCATGCACTTGACAACCGACATTGCATAAGCGTTTTTATCTACGTAGGAAACACGGTATGAAGCGGCTTTAGTTCTCAAGACAGCCAAAACGGGCTTTCAACTGTAGATATAGCACCGAACAATGTAATAAAATGACTACTACATATTAAAAGTTACGGGATTTCGTAGCACTCGAGTTTGCCTGGCGAGAGACATTGCCAGGAGGACTCCCTATTTTGTGCAAGAAGGTTCTTTGAATCTTAGATAAAACATAAACAAACTGGAATCTGATCGCTGCATTTGGTTATGGCACAGTAATCTGTGGTGCTGTTCACTTTAAAATCGATTAAAAGATTGAGAAGTGGAAGTTATTCCTCGTAAATTTTCGTTATATAGAGATAATACGTATGAAAATGGAAAAGGGGATGATTCTAAGCACTAAGATCAGATAGACTGACCTCTGGTTACTCGACTACGTGTTTGTGCCGGTGGAGAAGCCTCATCGCTTTGAACCTCGGTTGTCCCTTTGGTTGCTTCCTGTCCCCCGGATTTATGCTCCGAGCTCGAGCTCTCCCCTAGATGTCGAGAGACGTCCACTCTACCTTCTGCAGCTACATTGCATGCAGATGATGTAAATTCTGTGTTTTCAATCGATTCATTACCTGAAAATCTTTTGAGATTATCACCATTGTTTTCTACCACCACATCTGCTGATACCGATAGAACGGAATCCGATGCGTGATAGAAATCGGATTGTGATGATGGAGCTGAATCCCGAAAACCTTTGACCTCCTCTTCATCCAATGGTGTTTCTTCCAGCAGTTTAGTCGAACTGTTAAAACCGTTAGGGCAAATTGCTTGAGTGAGGGTTATGCCAGACTCTGGGCTGCTACTGTAGATGCTATCGGGAGAAGACATCCATCCTCTATCCTCCTGAGAGATCCCAGAACTGACCAAAACTTCCTCAGAGTTCTTGTAGTGGGATCCCAACTGGTTCTCTTCCCCGTGGTTTTCGGGCTTGTAGTCATCGCCAGTGAGGTCGGGTTCGGAATATATACTTTCTTGCGATTTTACTTCCTCGCTCTCCCCTAGTCCTTCGAGTGCCTGAATAAGGACACATTCCGTTTGATCTTTCATGAAAGAGTTAAAATCAAACATAACCTAGATGATCGGATCTGGAAATAGATTGCTTACTTTGTTTACATTGCCAGCATGAACACTTGCAATTTGTGCGAGCTTTATCAACATTGAATACAGACCCTTCACCGAAAATAAAACAGGTGATACCAAAGGCTTGAGGTTCTGGTAACTCTCCCTAATTTTTGCTGCACCCTTCGTGGTGATAAATGAAAATAATAACGGAGGTAATTGGTCCTTATTGTAGGTTCTTGGCGTTGAAAGAACTGCATCACAGAAGGAGATAAGAAAAGCGTATCATAAATTGGCATTGCGGCTACATCCCGATAAAAATCCCGATGACGAGGTAAACCCTTTTCCTGTTCCATATTTTAGCCTATTTTTTACTCTTCCAAATCTTGAAGAGTTCTGTTTCACTCAAATGAGAAATGAAATTCGTCACTTTCTTTGTTGCAGGAAGCTAAGGAGAAATTTCAGCAGCTGCAAAAAGTGATCTCAATTCTTGGGGATGAAGAGAAAAGAGCTGTTTATGATCAAACCGGCTCAGTTGACGATGCTGTTAGTCATTCTCCTACTTCTTTTTCTTCTCATGAGTTTTGGTATTAGCTGTTTTAAATATCTTTTTGGAATCGTATCACCGATTCAATGCCCACTACGCATGGTTAGCTTCTTTACGGTACATAGACATTTCCCCATTGACACTTTTCTCTCTATGTTCACCAGGACTTTTCAGGGGATGTCGTTGATAACTTGCGGGAGTTCTTCCAAGCAATGCACAATAAGGTAACACTGTTGAAAATTGACAATCTTTCCCTGTTCATGGCTTCAGCGATAAGAGCAACATCCTTGGACAATGTGGAGTCTAGGGGAATAAGGATCGCATTAGCCTGTTGAGACATAGAATCATCAATTAGCCAATAAGTTTATGGTTTCGAAGGATAATAGAATCATGAAAAGTGAGAAATGCCTAAGATTTCAGATCGTCAAATGCATCTCAGCGGAAGAGTCATGACCACAAGTAATAGCATCCCTCTGAACGTGAAACTTTGAAAAAGAGATGCGAGATGTAAAACCTTTGAAAGATCCTCGATGAGAGAACAATGTACAGAAGCAGCCTCCTTTCCCAAACTATGGACATCATGCAGATCTTCAGTTATTGCAAGAACCTACAGGTATCAATGAAATTTTTAGCACGCCCAATACAAATGCAAGACCGTTCAAGAGTACCGAATCACCATATAAATTCCTTGGTGTTCAATTTCTCGGCTTCACTAACCAGATATAAAAATAAATAATAATTCACATTCAAGAACAAGTCACTGTATTCATTAGTTCTAAAGAAATTTAAAAGATGGATGGCTTGTGGGATCTGGTTTTGCAGAAACAGAATGCGGGAATACCCTTAAGTGTAGATCCTGGAAACAGGAGTTCATCGTGAGGCAACCAAAGGACGAAAGAAGAAGAACAGAAATCCAATTAAACCAGTCATACCCAGAAACCAACCCTACAAAAGTCCCACATATCTACTTTTCTCACCAAATAAATGTCTAGTCTCTTACAAGCAGAGACGTGTGTGATTTTTATGTCTGTGGCGTAACCTCAAGCTTTTGATAGTACCCTAGGAGCATTATTGCCAAACCCCAATATTATGATTTGTTTCGAAAGGGATACCTCTTCTAGCATCGCACCGGTTTCAGAAGTCAAAGCGGTGTGGCTCCTTGATATCCGGCTAAAAGCAGATAAAGCAACACTAGATTCACACGCACAATCCCTCATTGCAAAAACAGTACTCTGCAGATCACCTGTAAGAAGTAAAGGTATGAATGCTTTTATAAGAAGCAACATTGTGCAACAACAGTAAACAAAAATCTTGCCCTGAGAATCTATTGCGCATTGAAAATGACAATGTACTGCAATCAGGCTAAGGTAAATCTATAAAGCAGAGAACTCTAAGTTGACAGGAAAGACAATCTAACCAGAAGCAGCCTTAGCCTTAAGGGAGGCGATGGAAAGCTCATTTGTGGCAGAATACAGGCCACTGGAGGCAGCTTCCATGCTGCTCTGTGCAAGTTTCCACTCTTGTTCAGTACCTAAAATAGCAAAAGCGGGTAAATGATCATATATTTGGAAATGAGATACACTGATCAGAAGTAGGACATTGAAGCACTTACGTGTGAAGGAATGATAAGTAATTTCTAATCGTGTAATCAAATTCATATAAGAGTGCTGCCAAGCCCAGGAGTCACTGCTAGTTCTTGCTGAATTACCCTCAAGGCCCTCAGATGGACCTTGGAAAATCCCATCTCTTGATGCTTCAAACTCCAAAACGGACATGCAAACTTTGGCAATATTAGATGCCTTCTCGCTTGCATCCCACAACAACTGCCTGCGTCTCAGCAAATGATCATGAAATTCAGGAGGAATCCCAGATAATTTGGAAGAAAAATTTCCAGCTGCACCAGGACTAGGCCCACCACAAGCCCATCCCATCGCTCTCTCTAGCTGCCCTTCTGCCGTAACTGAATTTTGTTCACAAGCTTGTAGTCTTTCTATTGACTTAGTGATTTTTGGAAAAGCAGAACGTATAACTTCCAGCAACTTGGGTCTCCTCAGATTTAAAAAAGTCAGATATAAGCTATCATCACCATCAAAGAACTTTTGAAATATGGTCCCAATATGTTGTGAAGGGGTCAAGGTTGCATCATGCATCCATTCCATTTGGACAATCTCCAGGCTTGCTCGACAAAGAGCCTCTCTTAGTTCTTTCACTTGCCTTTTCATAAGAAATGCAGCTGATTTTGCTGCTCTAGCAGTTTCATGAGCATTACAGTACTCATCAAGCATTATGTGAACCTGTTTCAAAGTGCTATACTCTTGCTTGGCTTGATCGAGTATTAAATCCTCTGTTTCCTCCGATGATGGTTTCAAACGCTCATTTTCTTTATCTAGCCAAGATAAAAATGCAGGAGCAGCCCTTTCAGCAAGGTAATAATCTATTCGCTGTTGAAGTTGGGTTTGCAGCTTTTTCTTCATAAAAAGATTCAGCTGTTCAAATCCTAATGTCTGATCAACCGATGAAGTTGCATCACGTATGCATGAATCAATGAAGGAATCTATGATGCCTACTTTCCAAATGAAAAAGGAATGACTGCTCAATAAGCTCCCAAAACTCCATATGTGCTCAGATAATGACTGCCCAGAACTCACAATATCCCCTAACGTAGGAATCCAATCTGGAGGAGAATCAGCTGAACTGCCTATAGAGGATAGTGTCCTATCTAAATGTTCCAATTCGCTAAAAGGCTTAACTAATTCAGCCAATACCCCAGGATATCCCAGATCATTCGGCTTCTTATTCTCCTCCGCATTAATGAGCATCTGGAACTGATTTTCAGCCAAAATGAGAGAATTTTTTATCTGAGCTTCTTTCTTTATAAGAGCAGAAAGTCGGAACTCTCTCTGGCTCCAGGTCTGATGAAGCTGATCCAGCTGTGCCCGACAAGCCTCTTCTTGAGATGCAAGTTCCTCTGCTTCCTCCCAGGATAGATGATCCCTTCCCTTTATAGCAGCTTCTTCGAGAGCTAGCTGCCGATCTGTAATAAGTCCAACCTTTGTGAAGTAGTTTTGTTCAAGTTCAACCAAGGAATCTCTTTCTAGCTTAACTTCTATGAGATGTTCCAGAGCTGTATCAATCGATCCACGGATTGGCGAGATCAATCCAAAGGCATCCATAATTTCTGAATTACAGAATACAGAAGTTTTCAGAACATCTGGTAGAACAACTTCAGTCATTTGTGCAACCAATCTCTTACAGGAAAGCAAGCCTCTCTGGAAGATGGAAGCCCAATTCCCTTCAGGATGGTAAGTGGAAGCATTAATTATTTCCTCCACACTAGAACCTTCCTGTCCGATGTAAATCTTTAGCTCATCAAGAATGTCTGCCAATATCACACACGTCTCTACCTGCTCCTCAAACTCACAGCTTATGCTCCCAGACTCAGATTGCAATTTGTTTCTGTCGCTTCTATCCACTGGCCCACGGAAAATGTCATGTACCCTTTGCTTGACCTGATCGTACTTTGAACTGACAAAAATGTGTAAATCGGCTAATGCCTTCAACGTTTTCTCTCCAGAATCTCGCAGGTTGCATCCTTTTGGCACATCACTTATGGACGATGCAGGCTCATCAGAAGAACTGGCATTGTTTACTAAACCATAGAGAAGACGATCCTTGGCCTTTGATTCAGCGCCTGATCCCACTGAGTTAGACAGCTCTGCATACTCTTCCTCCATCTTCTTTATCTCCGCTGTATATTTATGCACCATAAGACACAGATCTACATAGCTGTTTCTGAGAGAATCAAAATTATCTCCCTGTATCTTTGCAAATAATTCAGCGGCCTGTCTTCTAGCAAGAGACAGAACATCAGCCGAAAGAGCATGAGCAGATAATTGCAGAACTTGAGCCCAATTGTATACCAAGCTTGTCGTATGGTAGTTGAGAGGTAGAATTCTTTTGAGAGCTGAAGAATATAATTGAAGTGCAGTTAAAGCAGAAGAGAGGTCATTATTGAGTTCATCAACTAGGATGGAAATCTCCCTGTCAATTTCGTGGCATTGTGCTTGAGTGGGCTCAGGAACGACAGTCAGCGGAACTCCAGCCACAAGAACAGCAGACGTCAATGATAAAGCATCTGACATACTTTTCAAATTTGGCGAGACAATAATTTCAGAAATCATGTTTCCACGTAAGGCACTGAGGATCCTTCCATGTTGCTCTATCCAAAGAGCTGTTTCTTGAGCTTTTTCAGAAACTAAAGCCTTTGCTTGAGAAAATTCTCGAGCTTGAATTTCATAAGCAGCACGGGTCTTTTCTGAATTGCAAGCTGCTTCTGCAACAATCATCTTTGTAGATGTCTCGTGCAGAAGAAGTTTCGATCTTTCTTGATCAGCACGAATAAAAAGAGATGACGTAATCTCATATTGATTCAGGACCTCGGAAAACCTCTGAAACAAAATCTCACCATCATCAAACCAGCAAAAGAATGAAAGTGTAATCCATGGATTCTAAAAGCAACCATATTACCTCAAGAACCATAAGAACAGCTGGCAATGTAGTCAGTAAAAGGTCATGATGTTCCTATTCAGAAAAAACAGAAACAAACATGTTAATGATTTATTGATTAGGATATGCTAGAACATAAAGCTTATTATCTAAATAACGTAGTAGCAAGTTTATGGACACTACTAAGATACTAAGTTTCAAAAAGAGTAGCAGAATGAACGGATAGCTAACAAAATAGTAGATATATTCATGAGAATTACTGGACCACCTGCAAGCGTGAGGCTTGAGGGAGAAAGGCACCCTCTATCATGTTAGATTTTAAGCAAACTTCGAACTGTTATTATTTTTCAGAATGAAGGTTCACCTGCAAGCGAACACGGATTTCTTGCACTCTTGATGAAAACAAACTCAAGCTAACTGCCACCTCCATGCCTTTTCTTTCCTCACCGCCAATTGCTGCTTCATCATGAAAATCTCCACGTGTCCACTCAACAAGTGGGTCCCACACAAACACCTCCATCAACATCAAGAGTATGTCCTTGTTTTTCCTCAGAACACCAAGAACAGCTTCACAGTTAGCCCTGAAGGTGCCTTCCACACCTGTCAACCCCAAAGCAGCTTCCATTGTCTGGGTAAGGCGAAAGGGCACTATCTCAGGAACCTTTAGCCTTTGCCCTTTATCAAAACAGATATTGTAATCTATGTGTACGACATCCCCACTGCAAAAGTCCATTAGAATATTATCCAAATGTCTGTCTCCAAGACCCAGAATGTGGCCAACTATACTCATAGCCGCAACACTTCCAGAATACCTGCAAATCAAGAAAGTATTTCTTTTCAATTTAATCAGTAGTTAAAATGAATATTTGAGGTGCATATGTGTTGATGTTTAGCACCAGAGCAGCATAAGTTACAAAATTATATTCTAGCCACTTCCAAACAATTTTCCCTGTTTTTCCAAGGGAAAAGGACATAAAGGTATATCTATAAGAGCCCCTCGATTGTTATTGCAAATGTAGAATATTTTGCATAATTTCTTCCTAGTACCTTTTCAGTTTTGAGCTGAAGGCTCTGAAACCTTCACTAGAACACCAAAGTTCCCGGTGTAGCAGCTGCTTCGGTACCTCCCTCATAAGATCCAATAGGACTTTACACTTAACATCATGAGGCCAGTCTCTTCGTGAAATCACTCTTCTAATACCTTTCTCCTTGAGGGCAGGTATAATTTTCCCGTAAAACATGTCACTTGGTCGAGGAACAGGTGGTGGAGCTGAAGCTTTTACACTATCTGCAGCTGATGGAGAGATTTGGGCAAGCCTGACACGTGTCTGCCAAGATTTGAAAATACTATATATGCTTATGACATTCTCTACCCACTGGATAAGACCAGCTCTACCACTGATTGGAGTGACTGAGTAATAGCGAATGCCAACTGCATTACCATGTGTTGTTAGAGAGGACGTGAAAATACTGTTTATTGCTTGAAGCAATTGCATAATTCTAGCATCAAGGCGCAAGTCTTCCCTGCCTTTTAAGAGATATGTATATTTCTTTCCATCTGAACCATCCATAACAAGCTTTTTAGGTCGAGTCTTGGTCGGAATTATTGTCATATGATCTGAGAAAGAAGAAATCGTGACTATTCCACGGTGTGATGCGCTGAGGTGAACATCAGATTCACGCGATGGGACCTGCTTCTCGAGACCAGGCATAGGAATATCAATAGATGATAACCGGCCCAAATTGGGAGCAACTTCCTTCAAAGATATCGATGATTTCCTCTGATAAGATGCCAGAGATGCAGCAATACTGTCAAATGGACGCCACACTTCACTGAGTACAGTAGACGGAGGAGGAGTTTTAAATGTTGAGATTGCTGATCTTAAACGATCCATGTACTCTTCATGGAACCAAATCTCATGAGGTGTTTCAGGGTTCCTAGAGGTAGATGCTAAGCGGCGGTCTAATGCAACAACTATAGGGGCCATCATCGCAGAGTATTTTGCTGCATTTATCTTGTTCTTCTCACTCTGGCTAAGAGTTTCATTTTCTGCAACCCGAGCAGCCTCTTCTTTCAGCAAGTTAATCCGTCTTATAACATCTGGATCCAAAAAACTTTCTTGAATATATCAACAAAGCAAAATTAAAATAATACACAACACCAAATTAAAATATAAGATTAGCAGTGTCCAATACATTTCTTCAAATTTAGTCCAAGTAAACTTCGTCTAACAATATGATAAGTTCAAACAAATATGATAAGTTGAGAACCCTTTATTTAATTTCTAATCTTCTATAAAGCATCCCCTTTATTTCTTTTCCCTCCACCTCAGCAGAAATAAGTATAATGTAAAGATGAACAATTATTTCTCATGATCAAAACGTTAAAAATAAATAGCATATACCACTAGGAGATCATTGCAATTTATCCAGCCAAAAATTATTGGATAAGAAGTTAAGCTTACCCATGTGGAGATCTTGCAGAGTGCTAAGCCACAGCTCCTCCCAAAGAACAGTCACATTTCCTAGCTCGTTGATCATAAGCTGGACATCCTGAATTAATCTTGGATAGAGTTCAGTCTGCGTAGGAAGAATTAAACCAAAAACAAATTACATATCATTGATTAAACTGTAAGAACATTCATATGCCACCATTTGGCAGCATCAAGATTCCCTTTTAATGATGCTACACTTCAAAGTCAACATGTAAAACACAGAACGGAAGAAATATTAATATGAGATTACGCATGACTATCATTCCTGAGCTCCTACATCCAGCAATCGTTATGCTTTGGTGTGCCACTTCTTCCATTCCGAAAAACAACGAGATGAACTTTTTAATTCTGAAGATTTTTCAACACTATGGGGAAGAAAGATTCAGAGACACCAACTAAATCACATTAACCTTGTTCATAAGTCATAACTGCAACACTTCTGAGCCATATAGCTTTATCAACGAAAGGTTCTATTCCACATTTGTGTTTGTGACAGTCTGCTATGGAAACACTCATATAGGTATTCAGATAGGACTTTGAGAGGTTGAAATCAACTGTCCTTTCCTAAAAGAAAAAGCAGAACACTGTGGTTGAACCTAGGGGTTTGGCCAGAAAATTCTATGTAAAAAAGGGTATGTAATTCACATAACAGAGAAAATACCACATGCCCAAGAAAGGTAGCATTAGACATGTAATGTGTGCTTTATAATTTACACTTACGCAGACTACAATATCACCTTAGAATGGAGTAAAAAAATTACCAAACAGGCTGTTATGTGTAAAAGCTCCTCAGATGGCTTCTTGTCACAAGCATTCACATCGACTAGCGTTGGATACACTATGGACCAAGGCGATAACTTGGCTAACATTATCAGCAGGCATTCTATTTGCTTCCGCACTACCTCCTCAGGGTGAGAACTCAACCGAGCATACAGCTGAGGTATTACTTCCTAAACAAAAAGCTATCAGTGATGTTCAAAGATTAATTCAGGAGATAAAAACAAGGGACAGCTTGTCACCTGCCAAGGTTCCAAGGGAACCGACGAAAGAGTATGTTCCAGTGTATCTTTCAACTCCACCCCGTAATTCAGAAGGATATGTAGAATATAGAGTGTTGCTCGTAACGTATAGCTGCCAGTTTTTTGCTTCAGTGGATCACAGTCTACCCCAGTAAACTCGCTGTTGTGCAGGGTTGTGGATGAATATAGAAGGTACTGGGTGAAACCAATTGCAGAATGTCCAAAGAGAGACACCCTTCTCTTTCTCAAGGACCACCACACTTCAATCAGCCTATCGACTATAGGTGCTATATCAGTATCTTTCACAGCTTTGTTTGTGCACAGCAACAAATCACTTAACCGAGAAGCAAGAGTAACAGAGACACTATCTCTGCCACAGTTTTCAGCACCAGGGTCTGAAGCTGCAGTTTCTATTATTTCAATAACTTGCTGCAGCAACACGTTCATGCCTTCTCCAGCTTCTGCATGTTCTGCAGCATGCATCTGAAAGCTTCCATCTTCTGCAGTATTTGTGAGATAATTAGCATCATTCTTCTGAAAGAGCTGGATAATGGCCGATTCCACAGATTTAGACTCATCTTCAGTCAATCCAAACCTTTCAGGCATCAGCTCTTGAGAAAGCATGCTTGAAAAGGTGCATGAGCGGAGGATGGACCCATTAGTTTTGCCAAAGGACTCTGTTGCTTGTCGAAAACACCATGAAGCATAAGAAATCCATGATTTTCCCATTGTGGAGCAAAGTTGGGTGGATGACTTTGTAACTGTGCCAATCATTTCCTCAATAATAGCCCTTATGCTTGGTTTGGAGTTCAAACTCTCATATACCGAAGGTCTATTGCTTTCAGCAGAAGACATCACGGTTCTGCTAAAATCTGTTGACATCTTGAGGACAACATTTTCCATATCCGTACGCATATAATCCTGTCCTAGCCAAGTTGCAAGTTTTAAGCATGCTTTAGCCTTCAAAAAAGCAACACCAATATCCAAAGATACTGGTTGTGAAGAAGTTATATCTGGGCGCACAAATGACCAAAGATCCATGACAGCTTGTTGAACCTTGTTTTCAGAAAACATCAGCAGGGCTCCCTGGTACTGCAAATTTGAGATAAGAAACTCACGTAGTCCAACCTCAGCGCAACTGGAGACATGATCATTCAGATAGGATTTTAGACGATTTGCAAGCAAAATATTTCCTTGCTTGCGCGAAAATCCCAACAAGTCCATGCAAAGCTTCAGGGTAACCCATGATGTAGGTGAAACTGTCCGATACACTCGTAAAACTTTCAACCATGGGCTGCAGTCCCGATGGACTCTATTAATTAGAGATTGCAGTAACCGGACACAGGAGCTTGAAATCAAGTTCATGTGTTTTTGTTTAGGTCCACTGTCTCCAAGCTGATTATTTTCTTCGAAAGCAAAGATGCAATGCAACAGTGTAGCATATGGTGCTGTCTCAGATAACCCATCAAATGACAGCGCCAGTAAAGTTTCATCCAGCATTGATCGCGCCTTCTGCAAGGTACGTGGCACGTTCTCTATATCTCCTTTAACCTGGAAAAGCATAGCCTGCAGAAGCATCTGTTCACTTCTTTGCAAGGCTAGTTTTGGGTCAAGCGACAATTCTGTGCTAGTTTTAGGTGTTAAATCAAGACATGCCCATGCTGCTTCAATAGCACCTTCATCAAAACGTGCTAAGGCCTGTATAGCATTTATTTCATTTCCCGCAGCAGTCAAAGAACCTGAAAAGCTTTTCCCTGCATGCCTGGCACGAAGTGCCTGCAATTCTAAAAGCCAAGATTCCAGAGACTTCCAATCAGATAAAGCAGTATAACTCTCGATAATACGTTCAATCACAAATTGAATGTCATCGGAACCCATTGAACTTAGAGAGTCTTCTTCCTGTAACAAGTGAGCAAAATAAGCAGCTGCCTTTTCATATTGGCCTTCTGACTGATATATCAGCCCGGTGATCCACGGGAACAGCCCCCACTTACCACCATCCTTCTGAGTGTCACTGCCCTCCACAAGCAAGGGAGCAAATTGAAGTGAAACCCACTTTTGGAGGCCCAGCAGAGCCTTTGCATCATGATTCTTACACAAAGCCAATGACATATGACGTAAAATCCTCGAGATATCCAGAGGAACTCTTGCTCCGACATTGTGAATGTTATCATAAGCCCGCATTTTAGCTTTTTCCTTCGTAACTGACATTGTCATACCTTTTAGCTCCTCAAGTCGTAATATACAGTACTCAATTGTAGCATCATGAGATTGGAGGGATATACCAGCAATCATCATCGGCTCAGATATACGAGAAAACCACTCTTCACAAACTTTCCTGTTAGCACGAAAAAACAAGACACTTTGTGGCGTGGCTGATGGTAAGACAGCAGAACCCTCATATGCATTATATACATTTTTCTTCAAAGCCTCCACAAAATCCAACAGTAACCTCATCGGTAATAAATGGGCACCAGAAGAGCCCACAATATTTATGCTCCCATCTGTTTGCTTACTCTCAACCTGTAGCACATGGGTGATGTCTAAAAGCATTCGCTCTAAAGCTGCAAAAGTTTGAGCAGGACCACCGAAGTTAGTACGGAGACGTGTAGCAACACAAAACTTAGCAGCTTCTTGAACAGCCCACCAAGCACCTGCCAAATTGTTGGTCAAGCTGATTCTTTCAATCGAGCTTCGGTCAACATTTATTTCAATCCATCCATTAGTAGTAGTTAAGTTTCCTTCAAGATGCCCAACACCAATATCCTTTGAAGCCCGAAAAGCATGAATAAGCCATTGGATCCAAGAAGGAAAAGGAACTTTCCATCTCTGCGAAACGTAATTCAGAACAGAAACAAGTTGCTGTGAGTGAAAATGTTGGTCAAGCTGCTTCAGTGTAAAGACTTGCTTCCAATGCAAGTTGCAACTATTCCCCAACATAAGCATGCGCGGTCTAAGAGCCATATGTCCTACCCCATCACACATACCACATGCATACTGTGTGGCCGGCAAGAAACGGGAGAGTAACCTGATAAAAGCACTTCTAATACAGATGTCTGGATCTCCAAGCTTTTCAAGGAGAGTTTCAGCCACCGAATGAAAATGTATCGGGTGTATCAGTTTCACCTCCAGAAGCAACTCTAAAACTATGGCAGAACAGTCCCTCACTTTTGGTTCCCTATCAAATGCAGCATCCAAAATCGCTAGAATCATATCTCTAACCGTATCAGCATATGGAAATGTTTCACAAAAGTAAGCATCCATGTTCAAATGCCCTGACATATCAATCAGGTTTTCACAGAACTGTTGGACCCATTCAAGAGACACTAGTTTTACAGCAAGAGGAGAAGAAAAACTAAGAGCTTTAACCATGACTGGGCCATATTTCCTCATATGCTCAATCACCATGATTGAAAATCCATGACCAAAAAGATTAACAAATGATGTCTTTCCACGATTAGCATCTCTATGAGGCTTGCCATCAGTCTGATTTAACACAGAACAGTGACTGAAGAACTCGACTGCAGCTAACCACTCTAACATCCTTACAACGCAAACTTGCAACTCCAAATTGGCATCGATAGCTGAATCAAAAGGATTTAGTTTCTCAACAACAAACGAAACTAACTTCTCAGATCTCTTTAGATACATAACGGCAAGTTCTGGTTGACCAGTCAAACTAGTTTTCCCTTTGAGAGAAACACAGGCAAGAAGAACCTTCATATCAAATTTTAACAAAGCCACAAGTTCATTCTTGGAGTAGCATCTACCTGCTGAGACATTGGTTGCCTCATTTCTATGATCCATTGACTCCGAAAGTATGCCCCTCAACAACTCAAGCTCTTCCATAAATAATTCTACTGCTTGTTGAACAATCTCCTCATTTTCGTGCTGGAGCAAAAATATGTAGGTGGCAGTAGAACTTGCCGTCACTGAATGATTCGGGTGCAAACGCAACTGCGATATAGGAGAATCAAAGTGAAGCAACTTCAGTACACATGATGGAAGGAGCCCTAGCTTTTGCAGGGAAAGTAACTGGAGATTAATCTTTAATGTCCCATGTATCTGAACGGAAGTCATCTTCATATGGACTGCAGAATTGACAGTGTCACACTGTCCCATTCTCTGGAATAATATGTCAAAAGACATAGGATAAAACGTTGAAAACTTTTCACGTAGTATTTCAGCCAAAAGTGTCAGGCATTTCCAGAGATCTTCGATCCATCTTGACCATCCAAACCTCTGTCCTACCATAGACAAGCAACTTAACAACCGAGGCACCATTTCACACAGAGGTTCTCCTATCTTCTCAAGTAGATTATTCTCTAGTAACCCAGAGGCAGTGGATCGCAAGATTGCTAAGAAACAAGAAAGCAAAGCAAGCAACCTGCGAAACTGTTGTGGGGTTCCTTGACCACCGTCTCGAAGCAAGACATCCATGTCACCCAGAAACTTTGATAACAGTCCCAGTGAAAATTCTAAATGATTTAACCAGAGCTTCTGAAAGTCCAAAAAGCTATCCACGATAATCTGTCTGTCTGATTCAGCAAGGTCTGGTAATAACGCCCAACCAAGCAACATATCAACAACATCGAGAAAATGAGGATGAAATATACTAGAGAACTTCGAAGAGATAACTGAAAGAACACCCAAAATCCGATTCAACAAACCCACGGAGGTTCTCTCATCCTCGAGAAGGTCTTTGCATGCTTCAAGGATTGGAAAAGCATACCTATCTGTCCCATTAACATCTCCAATGGTAACAAACTCTCGTACAGCTTCAACCGCAAGTTCAGTGTCCCCATTCCGAACACCGATATGCCTAAACAACGGCAAAGCCCAATTAATGAAGCCATCAACCAGACTCCCCAACATCACATGATTTTGTCTCCCGCTCGATTCTATTGGAAGAGAGCACACAACAGCGCAAAGAGCACCATATGCAGTTGCGGCAGCCTGCCTCACGTCATAAGACCTGAACCATGAGATTCACCACGACACTAAGTTTCAGAGACTAGGTTATCAAGAGCAAGACGTGAGATAGTATTAAATGCATCATTAAGCATGCCAACCATCTAATTAAAATCAACATGAATCAGGAAACTTTATGAACAACCAAATTCCACTCTCACAAAGTAGAGCAAACAATCAGAAATCAGAGATGAAGACAACAAAGTCCAAGTAGAGAAAGAGTACTTGTCAGAAAGGAGCTGCCAGAGACCAGAGGAAAGAAACGACGCCGAATGTGCGACGAGGAGCGAATTCGGAGGATAAGTAATCGCTCTGAGGAGAGAGTGCAACGCAGAGAGACGGCCCGATTCGCCATTCTCCGATTTACCATCTCTTTCCCCCGTCGCAAGCACCGGAAATGATGATGCATTCTTAGTAGACACAGACGCAGATACAGAGGTTGAAGGCGGCGGCGGCGGAGTAGAAACCGACGGAGGAGGAGGAGCAGAGCCGTCGTTTGGTAGCGCCGCCGAGAGCAGCGCCACCAGCTGCTGTTGCTGGTGGTGGAAGCCTTGCATCAACACTACGACGGCAGCTTCGGCGACGGAGACGGCGGCGAGTTTGGCATCGCTTTGTCTCTTCCTGAAACGGAGAAATCAGCAAGGTACATAACTCTTGAATTGAATTTCAATGCCTCTTTTGGTTCGGAATTCGTAAGAACAAAGAAATATGTGGACAAAACATACAATTCAAAACGTTGAGGGTATAAATGGAGAGTATTGATAAATATTAAGGTTATAAACGAAATATTGATAAACTTTGGGGACCTGGTAGAAGTTAGCCGACTTTGCTTCAACGCAACAGTATATACCGAAAATCAGAATTCTCATAGCATCACTTCCTCACTCTGTGCCCTAGTTATCGCCGGAGAAGGAGAAGCCGGCGATTATCCTCTAGTCCATCGCTGGAGGAGCAATAATCTCTACCGACGGTAACGATGTCGTACGACGATGTCGAAATTGAGGATATGGAGTGGAACGAAGAGATTCAGGCCTATACTTATCCGTGTCCGTGCGGCGACCTATTCCAGATCACGAAGGAGGAGCTCAAGCTCGGCGAGGAGATCGCGCGTTGCCCTAGCTGCTCGCTCTATATCACCGTAATCTACAATATGGAGGATTTCCAAAACGAAACGAAGAAGAACAACGAGCCTCGAAGCCGACAACCCGTGGCCGTCGCTTGAGCTGATGCCCCATCGGATTGCAATGGTGGATTTTTTGGGTCATAGCAGATTCCATGTTGGAGAAACTGGTTTTCGTTCTGGGTTTAACTGATCTCCTTATTCGGTGTTGTTTTGCGTGTAGTCCAGGAGACACAGATGAGCTTTGTCAATTGCCCCCCATACGTTTTGCCTGAAATTGAGTTTAACAAGTTTTGATTTTTTTTTTTCTGAATCGTGTGATAAATATTAAATACGCAGCTTTTGTTTTTGCTTTCTTCTTCGAATGCTATTACTTATTAGCCAGTAATTGTCTTTTTCTTTTTGGGGTTTGAACTTCAGTGATGAAGCTTTTGCAGCTCGTGTTGTACACAGAGCACATAATTACGCACTAGTACTAGATTGTATAAAAAGGTCGTCTTTTTCAGAATTAGGTGTTCTTGGTAGGTAGAATTGGTACAGCCCCCCAAATTTCCTGAGTTTTAGATCGAAATTAGATTGGATTTCTGTGATTTTACACGATTAAGTTCTTAATCTGAGTCGGAATCTCTGTAAAACAGTGAAGATTAGATGTCCTAACTCGGATTAGAGCCGAGAAAATACACTTGCTACTTTCAGGTAGACTCATCCTTGGCAGATAATGTGAACAACGATGGAGTAAAAGTTCACAGATCATTTGTCCTCTGGCTTCAGCCTGTTCCTTCTGGAAAACCCTAATCCATTGCTTGATGACTGACTGTACGGTCATTCAGATTCTTGGATGTCCACTCCACCTTCCCATATGGGTCGAGGAAGTTGATGGTTTCGGCACTTCAGTTCAAGCCGTGGTCGGATTCATGGTCAGGTTTAGGCCGATAAGTAGATGTTTTGGAGATGGAGGGTTTTCGTCGTCGTCATCATCATCACAGTTTCACACTTGATATGGGTTCTCTCTGAGAGATTTTTTATTTTGAAGAGGAAAAACCTTTTTTTATTGTTTAGATAAAAAAAAATGTAATAGTTGTAACCTGTTATTTGAGGTTCCAGGAGGAGCGATTTCACTGATTTTCACATTGTATGTAAGCATATTGCAAGTAAAGAAAGAACATAAAATATGTGAATCAACTCACAGTTTTCAATGACAATAACTCTTATTCTCTAAAATTTCCATTGAAAAATGTCATTAATCAGAATATTTATATTCAGTTATATATATAACCACTATCCATTGTAACTATAGATTATAGAAAAGAAACAAGATAAACTAATATCCATATACATATAGGTAGAAAATATTAACGTGTCTTCTTATGTTAGAGGGCAACCGCCTGTCTTGAGTCGAGATCTAGATTAATCTAGGTACTAGAAACAAATCATGTGATTAGAATATACGCTCCTCTCTCCAACTTGAAGGTCGAACTTGGGGCCGATTAGACGTTTCGCGTCTCCATTTCACCTTCACCTTCTGAACTATCAAGTTGGGTAACTTGTCTTTCTTATCTTGTCTCTGTTTCTGGACATTTTATTGGTACCACTGGAAATCATATGAATATATATCTCGCTACTCTGTGGCTCTCTGAATGGTTTTATGAGCAGAATTTGAGAACTTATTACATTTTCTCTATTTCAGGACCATTTTGGATGCAAATGTTTCTGGTGTTAACGTAGTTCCTACAGTGTTTCGTAAAATTCAAACCAATATCTTCAGGATATATATATATATATCATCAAAAGAGTTGTTTTTGTGAAACACAAAAACAGATAACAGCAAATAAAATGACTTCAAGTCACTGACAAGACCGTGAATTCAGATCAGTTGAAACACATGTTCCACTTCCTAACTTAAGATCGATAACCAGCAAGCAAAAGTCAGAAACTTTCTTGAAGCAGAAGACGAACTCGAGAGGATTAATTACCTATTCTTCTTTTCGGATGATATGAACTTTGATGGATTCAACCTCATGTCCCGTTTTCTTAAGCTCGCAGATCACTTTGTCTTCGGCCTTCAGGTTGTTCCTTCTGCAGACACGGGTCCATTCCTTGAGGCAGACGCGGTTATCCCTCCAACGCGCCCTTCTCGCGGGTATTGTCCCGATAGGGTCGATGAATGTTAGGTTTTCAGAGAACTTCAAGTTGAAGTCCTTCATCAATCTAGAAGGCACCAACTGCAGAAATGACTCGGGTTTTTAGGGATGAGCAGTCAATGATCAAGATGAGAGTTCAGAGATTGCGGAGTTTTATTATATACCAACTCGAAGTTTCTGTTCTTGAGCCCCGTCACAAAGAAAAGGTTGGAAGGATTATCCAGATACAGCTCCGGTTCTACAGCAGGACCCGCTTCAGGACGAGCCGATGATCCTTGACCTACTTGCAAAGGCCTCCTGGACTTTCCTGAACAACCCAAGACAAGGATCAGTTCACTTAAGTGATGTCTGAAAGTTTTTAGGATCAGTCCAGTTAACACATCAAAAAACGAAACCATCATCATGATGTCTGAAAGCTTTTACCTTTCTCAAGACCCATCTTACACTTCCCGAGTTTTATCGATCTTGGTGTCTGTTGAGGAACAAATTCCTCATCGGAGGTCTCACTCTCATCTTCCTCATCGTCTCTCAGAATCTCGCAGATCGCCACCTGGCCTCTCTTCTCCCTACAGGTAGAGACCCCATATATACTTACAAGAAACGTGCACGGTGCTTTATACACAAACACCATGAATTCACTAGGTTTGAGCTCATTGTCCCGAACGAAATCCGCCCATCCACTTTCGAAACATGCGAATCCATCCCTTCTGGTGAACCCGACTCTCCAGGAGTTGCCGCTTTGGTTTCTGATAATGGCTGTGTCAGAATGCGGCTGCGGTATATAGCGGACAAACCCGAGAGGGAGATGCTGCTCAAAGAAACAGAAAAATCAGTGTCAAATGACAAAACAGAACTGAAAACTGAAGAAAGACAGACAAATACGAAAGTTTCTGCTTTGGTTATGAAGAAAATTGCAGTCTTGTTTCCAACATTCATCAAATCTAAGACCCAGTGGAGAGGAAGAAAAGGATACAAACCCAGTGAATTAGTCGACAACAATGGATTCAACAGCAACAGCAAACACAGAAACAAGTGTGGACTGTAGCATATGAAACCTCCGACCAGACATTTGTAACATGTAAGATCAGTAATCAAGAACATGAATGTGCTGTCTAACACCGAAGCAAATCAGCAGATCTGCTACGCTCTTTCACTCAAAACATATTCAATGTCGCGGAAAAGCAAGACCAGCTCAAACAAAAGGAAAAAAAAACGAGGGAGAGAGTTTTTACCAAAATCTTGGAGTTGATGTGGGGAATGTAAACTTTGAAAAACTCCGGACGCTGAACCTTTTTGTCGGCCATGGAAGAGGACCGGGGAGTGTGAGACAAGAAGCTTCAAAGAGAGAGAGCACAGCAGAATCTGTCGCTATAGCTTTTCCATATTCTTTGGGGGCGATTTTGAAATATCAGTAAATTTGCGAAACAGCTTGAGTATATTTGCGAATCAGCCCCTAAAGTTTGAACTAATCTCGAAACTGAAGCTGTAATATTCGAAACATGGCTAAACATGGACTTGGTGGCGGGTAGAGGAAGAAAGAAACACAGTGCCAAGTAATGGGTTTTTGTCGTCAAGCGGCAAACAGAAAGAAATTCTATCTACTTCTTCCCCTCTTGTTTCTTTTAAGCATTTTTCATAAAAATAAATTAATTATTCAATCAATTTTTTCATAATATTGGTAAGAGTAATTTTAGGCTAAAATCAGATTTTATGTGAAAATTCACTAGCAACATAAATAAAATAAATTAAAGTACAGCCTGCCAAGGCCCACCAAAAATTTTATCAAATGTTTTATTATGAAAGAATGAGAAGAAATGCTATATTTTATAAAAATTTATATCAACCCAATCAAATTTTTATATAGTAATTGTATTTACCACATTGATTTAATCCAACCTATATAAATATCATTATTATTTATCTTAACAGTATATAATGCATTCTATTGCGTTGTAATTAATATCAAGTCTAATTTATACTTATATAAAACTCAAGAGAATTGTTTAATACAATTAAATTTAATAAATAAAAAAAGAGTTGCTTTGGGATTGACATCTGTGTATGAATCTCGTACGGTTCCCCTGACACTTACCTTTCGCCCGTTTCATTTTTCTTTATTTAAAAAAAACATATTAATAATAAAAAAAATTATTTTTTATTTCCAAAACCCTTCCGGCGCGAAAATGTGCATGAAATTGGAGGGAATGAAGAAGAAGGAATAATCTTCCCATGAATGATTATCCTTTTTCCTTAGAAAAAAAAAATCTCAGCTTTGGTGTTTTCTCTCCAATTCTCTCGCTCTATTTTTTTTTTCTTCAAGTTATTGGGGAAACTGTCGGATAAATCGGTTTCGTCGTATTAGGGTTTAGATGGGCAGGTCCAAGAGATCTAGGGTTTCGGCCAAAGAAGCAGCAGCCGGAGAAGAAGAAGAAGAAACGATTGAGATGGACAAGGATGCGCAATCCGACGAGAATAGCAAGAGAAGTCTGTATGAGGTAATCGATCAAAGACTGTCGAGTTTTTTCTTTTTTCCAGTTCGTGTGATTAGGGTTTCGTTTCGGGCTCTATTATTTGGATTTTGCTCTTTTTTTTGTCGGGTTAGTACTGGGTTTAAGGTTGTTCTACCTACTCCGTGAGTATCCGTGTTCTTGCGATTTTTGTCGTTTTTATGTTCCAAAAGAAAACGGCTGCTTCAATTCGATTGTGCTTCGGCTGTGTTGATGTGAAGAGAACAAGAGTTTTCTCTTCTAGGCACTGCCTTTGTTGGATATCAGTAAATATTGGGTTTAACTTGAATCTGCCCCCTTCGTGGTGATAAATGAAAATAATAACGGAGGTAATTGGTCCTTATTGTAGGTTCTTGGCGTTGAAAGAACTGCATCACAGAAGGAGATAAGAAAAGCGTATCATAAATTGGCATTGCGGCTACATCCCGATAAAAATCCCGATGACGAGGTAAACCCTTTTCCTGTTCCATATTTTAGCCTATTTTTTACTCTTCCAAATCTTGAAGAGTTCTGTTTCACTCAAATGAGAAATGAAATTCGTCACTTTCTTTGTTGCAGGAAGCTAAGGAGAAATTTCAGCAGCTGCAAAAAGTGATCTCAATTCTTGGGGATGAAGAGAAAAGAGCTGTTTATGATCAAACCGGCTCAGTTGACGATGCTGTTAGTCATTCTCCTACTTCTTTTTCTTCTCATGAGTTTTGGTATTAGCTGTTTTAAATATCTTTTTGGAATCGTATCACCGATTCAATGCCCACTACGCATGGTTAGCTTCTTTACGGTACATAGACATTTCCCCATTGACACTTTTCTCTCTATGTTCACCAGGACTTTTCAGGGGATGTCGTTGATAACTTGCGGGAGTTCTTCCAAGCAATGCACAATAAGGTAACACTGTTGAAAATTGACAAAGTTTGGGACTTGATGCTTTTTTTGTGTCATGCCAATTCGTAACTTCTGCTGCTGTTCTAAGGTCACTGAGGCAGATATAGAAGAGTTTGAGGCAAACTACAGGGGATCTGCCTCGGAGAAGAAAGATTTGATCGAGTTGTTCAAGGAGTTCCACGGTAGAATGAACAGGTACCACAATATCCCTCGTTTCTATCTTGTTATGATGTTGTAAGGCTCTTATGTTAATACTGTTTCCCTCCCAGGCTTTTCTGCTCAATGCTTTGTTCGGATCCCAAGCTTGATTCACATCGTTTCAAAGATATTCTAGATGAAGCAATTGCTGCAGGTAGGCTTTCGCTAGAATAATATGTCTCATGAACTTTTTTCCAACTGGTAATCATAGTTTATCCTTTTGGCATAAGAAAACCTAGATACTAGCTCTTGAGAGGAATCTCCTTTACAATCCAATTGCATGGCGATATGGCATTTAATTTTCCAATGGAGTTAATGGTTTGTAGTTCCTATAAACCGAGTTTTCGATGGTTCAATTATGTCTGTATTTACTTCCCAAATCCCAAGTCACCAATCCAAATATAGATCCAGGTCTAGTCTAGCATGTCAATTCTGTTCTTGTAAGGCTACTGGCAAGACCACTCCAATGTAATCATGGTGTAGCCAAAGTGCTATAACAACGCCACAAATTGGAAATTGAGCAAAACTAATGTGTTGTAGTGGAACATACCTGGCTTCAATTTCTATTTTTTTCATCTTCATTTGATTCAGTTATGGTGCTGCCTACTACAGGAGGATCTTGAAATGGACAGGGCTAATTCTCAACTGTCAGCATTGTTACACTGTTTTGTCTACCGTTCAGATTGTATTCAGAATGCATTCATGTAATCACATGCAAGTGTAGATTTTTTTATGATGGTTGGTGTTATATCATTGTATCCTTCTTGCAGGAGAAATCAAATCAACCAAAGCATATGAGAAATGGACGAAGCAGATTTCCAAAATGAAACCTCCTACAAGCCCCTTGAGAAGAAGGCAGCCGCAGAAGTAAGTCTCCCTCCATCTGCAATGCATATATACTTGTTAATGCTTCCTGACTTCTTGTGTCTGTCCCCATCTGCAAACACTTGTTATGCGATTAGATCATCAAAGGGTTCGGAAAGAGATCTTTACGCACTGATGTCAGAGCGGAGGGACAAGAGGAAAGACAGATTCGACTCTATGTTTTCATCGCTTGTCTCCAGGTATGGTGGAAACGCTGAATCTGAGCCCACCGAGGAAGAATTCCAAGCCGCCCAGAGGCAGGTTGAAAGGCGGAGGAAGAAGTCTAACAAAAGGAAGACAGTGAACTCTGGTTCTTGTAAATAGCTTTATTAATCCCGAAAGATTCTTGCTTTTCCTGTTTTTGGATTGTTGTTATGCTCCTCAACAGAAGAATGTGTCCTATGGCACTTGGGAGGCTAACACAGTTCATAATTACACTATACACTATTATAGTTTTCAAGAACAGAGTAATTTGGAAAATTCAAACATGGGCCAAACATAGTGATACCAAAACACAAATGGTGACACCAACCAAACATCATAGGAGAGAAAAAAAAAAGAAAGAAAGAAAATGCGAAATGCGAATAATACAAAACTGTCTTGAGGACTTCAAATTCAATTTTTACTCCGACACAAAGCAGAGGTTATATATACAATGCCAAAAAGACTCATGTCCTAATTCTATGCAACCCCTCCAGAATTAAACCAAAAAAAAAATGGTATAAGCATTTTGTACACAAAAGAATAGCCATCAAACAAAAAAAATTCCCAGGTTAAGAAAACAAAAAAAGGAAAAGAAACGAAGAAACGCATCAGTTTGATATAATTACGGATTTGCCACTCTATATAACCAAAACGGGCAGCTGAGAAGTGGGGTTCAAAAACCTTATATAAACAGTTACTTCTCCCTTATGTCTCTGAGAAGATCATCCAGCTCTGGCAGGACCGATCTGAGAAGCAGTTCGAGTATGGAATACGCCACTTGCTTCATGCATACGCTCGACTGCAAGTATGAATCAGAGCATTTCCTTCATACCCTCCCGAAGATAAGATACTCCGAGAGAATTCGGATCGAAAAAGGGGACGAGATTGTTTATAAGGCATACTGCTAGAGAATTCAGATCGAGAGAGTCACCTACCTGGGTGAAATAGAATATGTCTCTGGCGCATCTCCTGTACTGCTTCTTCCCGACTAAACCCACTAACGCTGTCGGGGCTCCATCTGAAATCCCGATGCATTAAAATTTTAGGTGTCGCCAAAAGTTAGCTATAGGCTGGAGAGAGTAACCAACTCCTCCGGATATTCAGAAACTACTCACCGAACAGGAATTTCTTTATCTCGCTAGCTCTCCGAGCGTTCTCCAATTGCTGCTCAAAAGAACTGGGTCTCGCTTCCTTCAGACCGCTGAATTGGCCAGCAATCTGGAGTGGTTTCTGATTAAAGTCGTTCCCATCGGAGTCGCTTTCAGCTACTCGCACTCGGGTGAAGAAGACATCGTTTGGCCAAAGAATCTGATTGAAATTGCAAACAATGAAGTTTGTGAGAAAGAAATAACAGAAAGAAAAAAAAAGCCTTCCACTTAGTCCCGTTACTTCTCCACCCCACCCCATGAAAGCGTCAACTTAATAAATTGACCGTGTCCACATTCATTTTTCCTGAGCAAGTTTCAGCAAAATCTAATGATTAAATGATGTCACTGTCTCCGACTCGGATTACATGACAAATAGGGGAAGATTCTTTGGTTTAATATAATCTCTAAACGAGAAAAAAGGGAAACCCAATTCTTACATCTTGAGCCCAATGGATCCCTTTAGCAATTGTGTCTTCGTTCCTGAGCCAACAGATCTGCCTCAAGAGCCAGTCATCCACAGCATCTTCCATAACCAACTGCAAGATTTGTTTTGATATCCAGAAAACTTGTCTCCTGAAAAATATTACAAAAAAAGGGGTTGGGTTAAGATCAGACTGAAATGAGGGATGGTGCTCGGCAAGGCCTACCCACATACAGCAGCATGACGTAAGCCAAAAATTGAAAAGAAAAAAAAAACAGGGTTCAGAAGAAATCCCGTAAGTCATCTCACCTTAACCAACCTCTTCTATTCAGCTGAAACACCTTATCCACTAGGTTAAGTATCGGCACACTAACATTGGGTGGCATCCACTGCATCAAAAAACAAACGGATAAGTATGGATGTATCCAGATTAGGAGAAGCAAAATGTGAATTGGTACAACCTAATCACGCCGTGAACAAAAAACTGCCACAGTGCATACGTAGATCTAGGTTAATCAACCACGATTTGGTTTCAAGCTAAACCCCAATTCAGAATCTCTCAAGGAATATCTCTCAATAAGCACTCTGGTGCAGGTAAATCGCTACATGCTAACATGGAAAATCCAGACGAGACATACATATCCAATAAAAAAAAATTAAAGAAAGTGATCAAAGAAGGGTTAACAAGCAAGAGTCTGTAGAATATGAAAGTGAGATCCCAGGCCTAATATGTTGTACCTCAGGCGGCATGCCAGTAGGATTGTGGATCAAGGCTGTCAAAGGATCGGCAAGCTGCAAGTCAAGAGAGTCCCCTTGTTCAGCTTTAACCTCACAATCATTTTCCTTCTCCGAAAGTGACTTCTCGGGTCCTCCAAGATGCCTAACAACCCCTGGTGGGAAGTTCTTAGAGTTCAACTCATTATCTGAGGGCCCTCCGGAATCAAATCTCCCTTCCACATGAGTGCTATCTCCATTTTTATCAACATCATCAGTATCAGAAGTGCTGTTCAGAGATTCAGATGTAACTTTCCTAGGAATATGAGTGCTTAGGTCCTGTACGCTTAAGGACAGGTGTCGGGCAGGGACATGATCATTTTCTTCAAGCGGAGGTCCTACAACTTTCTGCATAAGGCCATCTGAAACCCCTTTGAACTGACGCACAATGTCATCCATAGCATCATCAACGTTAACTGTTCATTTCCCAGAGTTAAATCATAATGCTGCTTTCAGTATACAGAATCCTGAACATAGTCAAAACAGAGAATAGTTCTACTGCAGAAAGCAAAAAATAAGACAGAAGCTCAAGGGGGAAAAGAAAAAGAAAAAAAACTTATAACAGCTCGAATTGAAATTGTATAAATTAAGATGCAATAAAACAGAAATACCTGCAAGAGTTCTTATCACTGATGAAGACTTTCCAAAAGAATAATTCTTCAGAAGGAAAAGACAACCATTAGATCCTCATGTCAAATGGAAAGAGAAAGTAATGACATCAAACTACAGCAACACAGTATATAAAAGCTTCGGAACAATTCACCGAATTCTAGTTAGGTGCACACCTTTGAAGATTCGCTCAGAAAATCCCAAACTTCATGCTGTTCGGCTACATTAGCTATAGACAAGAGATCCTGCAGGAAACCAAAAAGAAAAGGTAATTATCTTTCGAAAAAAATGCCAAGGGTAAATGCTCTTAAATAGCTGCTATGAGACTATAACATACTTGCAGATATTTGTCTAGCTGAATACAACGCTGATGAACAAAAGCATCTTCAGTGCTTGATGAGAATATCCTCTTAGGAGGCAAATGTAAATTGTAGTTTGGGATGTCTTTGAGCTGACGATGCAACCGCTCAAAGTTACTGTATCTGGAGGGATGAAAAGAAGGTAACACAGGTTCAGCAACAACAATTTAGTGCCTTTTACAAAGACAAAATCAAGTTAGCAGACATGTATAATGAAGTAATAGTCTTTCTTTCAACCATGCACTGATCTGATGTTCCTGCTATCAGAATTGATAAGAATTTAACCTTCTCTTAACAAACCAAGTTCTGCTTGCTGCATCTCTCACTGCAATAGAGTATACTGCAAAGGATTTTGACCCCAGTTTCTCGAAATAAGCACCAAGTACCTGCAGCCACACATTAACGTTAGGTATAATAAATCCCTCAAGAAAAGGTAGTATTCTTAGATTCACACGGTAAAGAAAAAGCTGACCATATGTATATTACATAATAAATCAACAAACGCTAATTTATCTAGATTTCTAGATCTGAAGACAATTTTAAGACCGAGCTTACCCGACATTTGAGCTTTGGAGCATGATGTCCCTCTTTGTGAAGAAAGACGTCAGGAGATTTTTTATCACTTGTATATTTTTCATTGTGCTTGATGAAATCTGTCGTGTAGAACTCTGTGATAATAGGCCCCTCAAGTCCATGCCTTCCATCAGGATGCCCTTGAAGATCAGAAGTACTGTTGGATCTCTTAAGCCTAATTTTACTTCCATCAGAAGCAGGATCATCCTCATAGATGCAGTTCTTCCCTTCGAATGAAGATGATTTATTAAAATCCTCTGCCATAGCCATCCTGTCATATAACTGATTATCAACACTTAATCTTGGGGGTAACGATGCCACTGCTTTCCCTTCAGATCCAGTAGACGTTCCAGGGATAGAGGTAAGGTCTTTCTGGTTGAGAGGTTTTTTGTACTCTTTCTTCTTATAGTTTCTTCCTTTTGTCCACATGTTTTCCAGGTTTTCAGGGGCAAGAACCTCTGTTCTCCTTTGCGTTGCTGCCTCAAGCCCACGAGCCCATTCAGCAGAATGCGGATGCATGGTCAATTGATACTTAACATATTCTGGGGATGACGTTGTCTGCTCATCAACTTTTGCAAAATTCACATCCTTTGCTTGATTCTCGAAGGATGAATGGTTCGTTGAGGCAGAACCAACACTCAGTGCTTCCCCCCCAAGCTGCTGAAAGTCTCCCTCTTTAATAATGTTGATAATGATTTCAATCACCTCATTAATACGCCTGGTGCAGGGAGAAAAATATTTAGCATTTATGGATAAACTGTTAGTGAACAGTTTGACCAAAATGTCTCGCACTGGGGAGGAAACAAAAAAACATAGCTTTTGTTTTGCCACATATAGTTCTCAGTAGTCATTGTTGTAAGTTAAGAAGTTTCAACTGCCATATATAGAGGGATAATCTATTATCCACACTTGCAATATACCCATGCAAGGGGAGTTGGGTCAAGGTAAAGCCTAAAAACTAGACGTTGATACCAAATACTGTTTACCTAGAAGACAGAGATAGTCAAAGAACTTACTCGGGGCACACTAAATTCAAAAGAGGTTGAAGTACCAAGCAAGTAACAATCTCTCTAGCAATTGTTCGAACGAGAGGGCACTGAGCTTCTCGTGGTCTGAGGACCACAGATAATATTCCAGCCACTATCCGCTGCAGAACCTGCAAGAAAAAACACCAATGACATGTAATGCAATAAAAGTAAGGGAAGAAAAGCCAACCTAATTATCATCTGATTCTGAAGTCTCCTCACACACCTTGTACTCACTCTCTGGAGACACAAGTGCAGGATAAAGTTCCCCAGAAGCCATAAGATGGTATTTCAATCTCTCATCTCTCTCCTCTGAAGACAATGTCTTCATAACATCAATGCCTATGGCAGCCTGGTTTCGTCTAAAAAGATCCAAGTGATCGCCTATCAAATCAACTATGTCCCTGAAACATTAGACACTGGTATTTTATCATCTTCAAATAAATTCCTGTCTGAGATTCTGGGGGGTCTCGTTTATAGTTCCTTTCTACTAAAAGAATTTGAAAAAGGCGACAAGTGGAAAAGGATGAAGGAATCGCACCTGGTTAGCAAGTCAACGATATTTATCTCTTTTACTCTTACAGATAATTCACCAAGAGCATCCATGATAACTGCACGAATCAGTTCAGGCGCCTCCTTATCCTGGGTGATTTCAGAGTACCACAAATCTACCACAAAATCCCTTAGGATTTTATTGATAAAATCATTTATCGCAGCCTCCACTACTGGAGAGTCAATCTTCTTCTTCCACGTTGGAGGAGGCGGAGCACTAGAAAGACGTGGATCATTCAACGACAACTTCTTGTTCGTGAGATAAGACAGATGACTTTGTCTTGGAGACGGACGAACTTTCCAGTGGAACTCAACCTCATTAGACAAAATACGTAGACCACAAACAATGAGGATTGCTACAGGAAAATTCATCCACATAGACGTGCTTGTATCTGTATCAAGAAACAAAACATGTTTAGAAGCGAAAACTACAAGCAAAAGATTAACTCGAATCAAGTCCAACAGAAACAAGGTGTTTTCGTGTCTTTTGTAAGACCATATCAGGCAACAATGTAATAAATGAAAGACAAACTTGAAAAACCAGGTTCCTTCTAATGCACCAAAACAGTCAGAGAGAAAATAGCACTGTTGTGCTCCTCTGTTCTTAGCTAAGTGGAAAAATGGTCATAGAAGCTCCTAATTTCATCCTAGCTAGCAGAAAAACGAGAGATGTTCAATGTCGCGGCGACAAATTCAACAAATACACTGAACATTGACAAACCGGAATTACCGATTCGAAACCCTAAAACAACGGCATTATGATAATTCCTACAGGGACTCTCTACCTAGAACAAGAATCCGGGACCCAGAGAACCGCGAACCTGCGAAACCGAACGCAAGACAGACACGAGAAACATGTCCTAAAAAGGTCCAAAACGAACTTACGGGTCAAGACGTAAGTGACGGCGAAGACGCACAAGCCCCACCACACGGTCCGTACTTTGGCCTCCTCGATCAGATCCTGTACCGTCTCCATCGCCTTCATTCTTGCTTTCTTTCTCTCTAACGTTCTTCTTCTTAATCTTCTTGTTTCTCCTCCTCTTCTAACGCAATCCAACGGAATCCAACCCAATCTTCATGAAATTCGATCGAATTAAGCTTCTCCGAGACGACGAGGAGAATTCCCAAAAACCGTACCGAAGCAAGTCCAAATCGAAACTGAAATTCGACGAATTTAACAATCTTGATGTCAAATCCTCCGCCGCAAGATCGTTGAGACTTTGAATCAGAAGCAATGATCAGCCATGAACGGATTCCTCCGACTATCTGGAAGTTTTTTTTCTTCTGGAATCTGTTTTTGCGTTTTTTCCTTCTTTGAATAAACAAACAGATTAAAGTAAATCCACAGATACGGCCTGGGAGACGAACGGAAGTGAACGGTGTCGTTTTGCTTGCGCGTACACGTATATATACTTGTGGAACTCTTCTTTCTTCCATGTTTCATTTTTTTTTTTTTACCCCTTTTTTCTTTTTTCAAAATTATACCTTTTTAGATTTTTTTATGAGTGAACCAAAATAATGAGAACCCAAAAGATTTTTACTTTTATGATTTTTTTTTTACAGTAAAGATAAACATCCGTGTTCTCCTTCACATAGTTAATTTGAGAGGAAAAAAAACAACAATTTGAATTCTCATGGTTTTGTGGCAGTTTGCCTTCTGCTGAGAATTTTGATAGATTTTGAAATCAGATAACAATATATAAAAATTTGAACAATATAAATACATAAAAAAAAAACCATATATTTGATTGTTTTGTCTACTTCATAATTTATTTTAAAATTATTATCCACCTTGAAATTCGCAGGCCCAAATGTCACCGAAATGGGCTCCAAACTAAATGGGCTCAACTTAAAGCCCAAAGAGAGAATTTTTCTTTCTTTGTTTGCCATATAGTGTTAAATTTATTTAGCTAACAAATCTAAATATTTTTATATCCTTCTAAACAAACACACCAACTAAGGTGACCAACTCGAGTTTCGGTTCGGTTATATTCAGGTTTGGTTATTTCGGTTATAGAAAAGCTATAATCATTCGGTTTTTATATAAATTCCGATTCGGTTCGGTTATTTTTCGGTTCGGGTTCGGTTCGGTTTTGGTGAAAAATTTAATTAAATTGTTGGTTATTCTCTCGATTTTTTCGGTTATTTTTTATTCTTTCGTTCGGTTTCGGATTCGATTTTTCGGGTTTAAAGAAATCATAACCGTTCGGTTTTGATATCAGGTTCGGTTCGAATACGATTATGTCTTATTCGATTCGGTCGACTCGATTATTCGGTTAATAACCGAAATGGCCACCCTTAACACCAACTATCAAAACATGTAATTCAAAATTTATATTAAAATATATCATAGCTTTGGGTCGAAATCCCTATTAATTAATGGGAAATAACATAAATTTGCATTACATGTGTAATACTCTTTCACATTCTTAAAAAATAAACCCTAATTAGTGCCGAAAATATAATTTTCTATGAAACGAACTTGTCTGCGCCGCTCACCGCTTTGGGTTTCCGCCGCGTGTTTCCCAAACCGCTGAAAGCGAACCAGCAAAAAGTCAAATAAATCAAACGGCTGAGATTGATTTCTTCCTGATAAGAACCAGAAATCTGACGGTTAGATAAGCCCAAAGCTTTAATCATTATGGAAAATAAAATATCTTAATAGAAAAGTGAAATAAATAAAAAAAATATCTGAATCCTTCCTTATCCACTTCACTCTCTCCTATGTCGTTCTTCTCTGTGAATATATACAAGTGAAATCACATCGTCTTCTTCAAGCTACGTTTCTGGGTTTAATCATTTCTTGTTTTGGCAAAGATGATGCGATCGGCGATTCTTCGTTCGTTTCCTGTTCCTATTGAATCTAGTGGTATCGTCAACGGCAAGGCTAAACTCGCGTCGCCGGCGAGATGTTTTCCGGCGAGATCCGCATCGGAAATACGGTGTTCGAGCACTAGACACGTGCCGAAGCTTGAACCCTTCAGTCGCGGGAAATTGGAGCGTGTCCTTAGAGATCCGCCATTGATCGAAAAGGTCGAGACCGAGCTCGCAGGTACGCGTATACTTATATATGTGTATGTGTGAGTGTATGTATCGTGTCCTTCTTCGTTGATTCTCTAGTGTTTCGAATGATCAGTCTAAGCTTTAGGTCGCTATCTACTGAGAAACCGAACGGAGATAATCGTGTCCTCGCTGAAAATTGTCGATTCGAAGGATCTCGATCAGTGTTCCTAGATATTGAATTACGTTTTTGCTCTGATTTTGCTTTCAGATTATTGTTCAACGCTTGAAGGAGACGATTCCTACAGCTGTTGGAGAGCTTACTTTGAGCTTAAAGACCTTGAAGTAAGTCGGCGGTTTCCATTTTCTTCTCTTCTTCTGTTGAATAACAACGACTATGAACAAATTGGAAATAGATAAACGTGATTAGAGTTTAAAAACATATAGTTCTTGAGATGGGATCAAGAATCTTGAGTTGATTGATGGAGTAATTTAGTTTGGGGGATAGTTCGAGCGTCAAACCCTTTGCTGATTGATAGTTAGAGCATCAAACTGATACTTCATCTATGGCGGATGTGATTCCGTTGTTTGATTCCAGAAAGAGAGCCCTAAGGAAGAAGTAGAAAAACTCATCCTGCAAACCGGTGGCGTCAAATCCCTTATCGGGTGCGTCCACGGGATCGCGACAATGCAGAAGGAGAAGAATACGAAGAACGGTTTCGGCCTAACGAAGCAATCAGACACCGAGAATGGCGGCAAAATGCATCTGCACGTCCCAGACGGATTACCCAAGTCTAAAGTAGAGATGGAGGAAGAAGAGAAGGCGAGGATGCCGGATTCCCCCTACACCAAATTGCTCAGAACGAAAGGCAAGTTCCCCGCTTGGTTCTCCCCCACTCCCGACCACGAGACAGACTGATGGCCATGAGCGAAAAACCCTAGTAAGTTTACGTTCCTTGTTCGGCAAGTAACGATTTCTGTATAGATTAGTGGTTTTGTTTTCTTGAATTGGCTTGACGGTCTCTCCAGGGTTTTCACACGCGTTGTCCATAAAAGCATTGTAATATTTCAATCCAATTTCGTACTCTTGTATACAATTTCGTACACAACATAACGAATTTAGCTTCGAAATACTTTTGGATGGTTGTAATGGCATGTAAATTTTTGGATGATCAAGAGCCAACCATCTTCATGTCTATTATAGAACCGGTTTTTGTCGGTTAATTTACAATATTTTCGAATTCTCTATAATTGATAATGTTCCGGATTCGAAGCAAATCCCCTAAACTGAAATCTCTAAATTTAGGTTTTTTGTTAAGGGAAGCCGTTGGTGATTTTGTGAATTCGAAAACCAAACAGCATATTAATAAATAACCCCTTTTGTGTCGACCCAGAAACAGCCTTCATGCCTTTTATAAACAGCCTTGGGCCTTCTCCAAGGTTTTCTCCTTCACCATGGCTAAACCACCTCCTTCTCTTCCGTCCTCCTTCTTCCTCCTCGGCTCCCTCTTCCTCCTCTTCATCTCTATTCCCTCGTTAGCCCTCACCGACGCCGAAGCTTCCTTCCTCGCTCACCGTCAGCTTCTTGCACTCCCCGAGAATGGAGAACTTCCCGACGATCTCGAGTTCGAAGTCGATCTCAAGGTTACGTTCGCGAATAGCAGGTTGAAGAGAGCGTATATCGCGCTTCAGGCGTGGAAAAAGGCCATATATTCTGACCCCTTTAACACGACGGGAAATTGGTTTGGTCCTCACGTTTGTGGCTACAATGGCGTGTTTTGTGCCCCTGCTCTTGATGATCAGTCCATCACGGTCGTGGCCGGTGTTGATCTTAATGGCGCCGATATCGCGGGGCATTTGCCTGCCGAGATTGGTTTGATGACGGACGTGGCTTTGTTCCATCTGAACTCGAACCGGTTTTGTGGCATCATCCCTAAGAGTTTCGAGAAACTCACACTTATGCACGAGTTCGATGTTAGTAACAATCGGTTCGTCGGAAAATTCCCTTCCGTTGTCGTCTCGTGGCCGGCGGTTAAGTACATCGATATTAGGTACAATGATTTCGAAGGCGAGGTTCCTCCAGAGCTTTTCAAGAAGGATCTCGACGCGATTTTCTTGAATAATAATAGGTTCACGTCCACGATCCCAGACTCGATCGGTGAATCCTCGGCTTCTGTCATCACGTTCGCGCATAACAAATTCACGGGATGTATCCCGAAAAGTGTCGGAAACATGAAGAACCTTAACGAGATTATCTTCATGGACAACAACCTCGGAGGATGTTTCCCCAGCGAGATCGGGAAGCTTGCCAATGTGACGGTGTTCGACGCGAGCGAGAACTCGTTCACAGGTGTTCTTCCGGCGAGCTTTGTCGGGCTTACCGGCGTTGAGGAATTCGACATTTCCGGGAATAAACTCACCGGATTTGTGTTGGAAAATATCTGCAAGTTGCCTAACTTGGCTAACTTCACATACTCGTATAATTACTTCAACGGACAAGCAGATTCTTGTGTCCCAGGTGGTCGGAAAGATATTGTATTGGACGATACACGGAACTGTTTGCCCGATCGGCCTAAACAACGGTCGGCGAAGGAATGCGCCGTTGTCGTGAATCGTCCGGTGGATTGTAGCAAGGACAAGTGTGCCGGAGGAGGCGGGGCTGGTTCCAAGCCCGCCACGCCGGTAAAGCCGGAAAATCCTCACGATGAATCTCCCGTGAAGCAAAGGCGAAGCCCCCCTCCTCCGCCGGTTTACTCTCCCCCACCGACGGTATACTCTCCACCACCTCCGGTTTTCTCTCCACCTCCTCCTTCACCACCACCTCCTTCACCCCCACCACCGGTCCATTCTCCACCACCACCGCCAGTTTACTCTCCACCACCACCACCAGTTTACTCCCCGCCACCACCAGTTCACTCTCCTCCACCTCCGGTTTACTCCCCACCTCCACCTCCACCTGTTTACTCTCCTCCACCACCACCGGTTTACTCTCCTCCTCCGCCACCGGTTCACTCCCCGCCGCCACCGGTTCACTCTCCACCACCACCACCGGTTTACTCCCCGCCACCGCCGGTTTACTCTCCACCGCCACCACCGGTCCAATCTCCTCCTCCTCCACCCGTTTACTCACCGCCACCACCACCGGTTTACTCTCCACCACCACCCAAACCGGTCCAATCCCCACCACCACCGGTTTACTCCCCTCCGCCACCACCCAAACCGGTACAATCACCCCCACCGCCGGCACAGCAGGTGGAGAGGCCCCAGCCGCCGCCGCCCAGCGACGAAGTAATAATATTACCACCGTTCATCGGCCACAAATACGCATCGCCGCCGCCACCAATCTTCCCGGGATACTAAGAAGAAACATATATATGTATATATAAGTACTGAGTGACATCTGGCATGGAAGACAAAAGAGAAGTAAAAGAAGAAGAAGAAGAAGATGAAGGCACAGAGGAAGAAGATGAAGAAGACAACGACGACAAGAAGAGGAAGAAGGAGAGCAATGCGTTGTAATGGAAATTCAGACAAGGAATCTTAGAACTTTGTACGTTTCATTACAAACGGTGTTTTTGGTCCATCAAAGATTTGTAAACTTTACAAAAAAAAGAAAAAAAAGAAAAAAAAAACGGTGTTCTCTGGTTCTCTTGTTGTATCATAATATTATTAACTATGGTTATCTCTAAGAACTCACTATTTTATATAGTTTTTGGTGCTTACAATTTCTTACGTTGGACCAAAATGTAAAGTTCTTGGAATTTAGTGCACCGGAAAAAAAAAAGAGAGAAGATACGTTTAATATCAAAATTCATATTTTCGATAATTGTCGTTTATGAAATCAGTTTACATATATATTTCTATATTTGAATATTTATGGTACGTTTGGTTCAAATACGAAGGCACTGTCGTTTCCAAAATCAAGATGAATAAAAACATTACAAATTGAAATAAGGGTGTCTCACAGAAATATTGCTCCCACAAAATTTTGTATATTTTTTTGAACCATCTCAAAAGTTATTTAAAAAAGAAGAAAAACACGGTCAGATATATGGACTAATAACGAAATGTTTAAGATTAAAATATTAGGTTAATGTGAGGAAAAATTAAAGAAAAAGGGATTGAACGACGACGTTTCATCTGAGAGATGCTTTAGCGGCACGTTGAAGCATTGAAGCGTAGTTTTCCGGTAAATTCTGAGAGCTCTCAGGTCAGCTAATACAGTTTCAACCTTTCTTTTTGCTTCATTTCCCACTTTTTTCCGTTTCCAGTGAACCCTAATTCTATTCTCATTCCCCCAAATCCCTAAATCGCCCCATTTTTTGGGGGGAAATCCCTAATTTGATCTCTGAGTTATCGAGGAACGATGGAGGGAGACGGGCTTCTGCACAAGGAGGAAAAATCATCCCCGAACGAAGAGCCCGTTCGAGGAGAAGAATCCGACAAGGGCAAATCTGCGGAGGCGGATGAGCCGCCGAAGAATGCCGGAGGTTGGGGCTGGGGGTTTTCCGCCTTCTCCGTTCTGTCGGACCTTCAAAAAGCTGCTGAGGAGATTTCTCGAAATGTATGGTTCAAACTCTTATTCGACCTTTCTCTGGAAATGCTTGGTTGTCGGATCTAAGATTTGTGGTAGTGAAATGCTGGTTATTAGATAATGCTGTTTACTAGATGTTGGTATTCGGTACCTGGGTTTGTTCATCTTTGATCAAATTTGTTTGTGCAAACAGGAAAAAAATGTTGTGGGTATTGGCGCCCGAAATCACGATTTTATGAGAAAATCAAGTATTGACAACTATTTCATATTTGCTTCACAAAGTTGTTTTAATTTTCCAGCAATAGTTTCTGGGTCACTGTACTGACAGTGCATACCTTGGCATCCCATGAACTAGTGTATGCGTCTACCATTTTTTATGCTTACATGGGTTCAGGTGGATTAGTGTGAGAAACGTAATGGGGGGTTTTAAACACAATTGAATATGATTATACAGTTCTACATGTTTCAGTCACTTATAGATGTCCAGGACACCAGGTTTGTTGTTGTCAAACTCTTAGAATCCTTGTTTTTTCAAATTCTAAGTGTTTGGGTTAATTATCGATGGGAAAACTGGGTTCTTGAAATAATTTCTTACTCAAGAACTTGTTAGTAATTCAAAGATCGGATACGTCATTGTGCAACAAATAACCAAATGCTTGAGCCACTTTTGGTAGCTCGTATGCCCTTTCTACTCCTACACATCCTTGATCCTTCTCCGCTTCTAGTTTCAGTCATAGAGCAGTTCTGCAAGCTTTTCTTTTCTTAAAAAATAATTATTGAAATGTAATTTCAGAATCTTATTTTTGTCTCCAATTTCGTAATATTCTGAATCCCATAGCCCCTGCACCTTCTGCTATCTCATTTTCATTGAAACTCATTTTAGCACAGTATTGATGCAAGATCATTTGCAAATAATTGTCCCTGCTTTGCTCCTGTAGGCTGCAGCAGTGGCAGAGAAAGCAGCAAAAAGCATTGCAGATTTGCAAGAGGATGATGAGGACTCAGAATCAGCTTCCAAGGAAGAAGAGAAAACTGAGGAACCTGATAAGGAGCAGCAAAGTGATGATGAGAAGGAGAAGGTACGGAAGTCTGCTCTGGATAAACTGGAGAATGCAAGCGAAGATACCCTCCTTAGCCAGGCAAGTTTTCCTGGTTCTTATATAGAAGTGGCAGCATTTGTTGTAATGAAATGGGAGATGTAACATTGTCCTCGTTCTTCCATACACCTTTTATCCTTGCAGAACTTTCTCCTCTTTGCTAATTCATGTTTGGCACAAGTTCATTTTGTCTTTCTGCTAATACATTACAAGTTACATAATATTTATGTCTTACTGCTACAGAGTTTGAAGGTTCTTGATAATTCTGTTGAGACTTTGACATCCGGAGCCTGGCAAGCATTAGGAAATGCGTGGAAAGGGGGCACAAGTTTGGTGCAGAAGTATGTTGCTTTCCTTTGTTTTCTGGTGGTCATATTTGCCTTGCAAATCTTGTCTAGGGGGAGAGATTATCCGTAGCAACTGTTTGTGTGGAAAAGTATCGGTCAAGAGAACTAACTTTATGTGCTGAAAAAAGGAGGAATGCAGTGTTTCAGTTGGTGTATTGGATTTAATGAATGTTGAGTAGTGTGCTCTGTTGCATAGAATAAAGATCTATGCGTGTCAATGTTGGCTGACAAGACAAGATCATTAGTAGACTCAGTTTAGTTACTGTTATGTTTTTGGATTCTGGTAAATTGGCGCTCTTTTTCAGTTCTTTGTTGCTTGGTCATGACCTTCCACGTGTTTTTTTTAACAGAAACTATATGCCATTTGATACACTATTTTCCGAATTTGAAAATGCATTCTTATCCCGAGGTTTTAGGGTTTCTTCATCCGGGATTGAATTCCCGGGGAAAAGGATCAAGTTACCATTTACTCACAGATGAGAGCTGCCTGCTGTGGCTGGTGTGAAAGATTCAGTTCTTGACAGCTCATGGTTTGTTTTGCAGACTTGAAAACAGTATTCAGCAAGGTGGTTCGCCGCGCACATCTGGATCTGTTGCACCGTCTTTACTGGAGGTTTGTGTTGCTTGTATCATCTTCCTTTGTTCTGTAATATTGCATTTCACTTAGTCTACGACATTGTTGGGCAGACGGGAAAAGCATTAACAGCTAAGGGAATGCAAGTACTTGAATACGTGGGCAAGGAGACTATTGATTTATTGATCACAGAGACTGGCACTGATGTTGAGAAGAAAAGAGAAGGCCTTGCCAGCGGGGATCAGCTACACGAGGAAGTGACATTCGATCGGTGCTTCTATATTTATGGAGGCCCAGAACAGCTGGAGGTGACGTATTTATCTGTGAAAGAAACCTCTTGTTTTTTTTTTCTCTCGGATAAACCTAGTATTTCCTTAAATTACGATGGATAATACTTTCAGGAATTGGAGGCGTTGTCAAGCCACTATGCTCTGTTGTTCAACCGGAGAAAGGTGAAATTGTCACCAGATCAGAAATCTCTGTATGATGGGAAGCTTAAGCAGATCCAGCAAATTTTCAGCTTCGTCAACGGAATAGGCGGAAGTAATGCAGAGTCTAACAAAGGGAAGAAGATAGAGACTGAATCAGAAACCGGTGACGATGAAATGAAGAATCTGCGGGACTCAAGTGTCAGCGAAGCTGCTGATATGGCTGCTGGGTAATTACTATTCACTATCATTCCTTTTTAGTGTATGGAATCTGCATTTTGCTTTGTCTTGTAACCCCTGAAGTGTCCTTTCTCATGGAAATCCTACTCCACGACGCAGCCAAGCCTCAGGAAAGAGACAATAGACTTTCTGAAATTTATAACCAATTCCAATCCGTATCTTTAGATTCTTTGCTAAGAAACGAGAAGGGAAGAGATTATAAACTTACACATCTACATCAAAACACGTTTTCAAAGGTGAAAAAAACATATTTTAGGATTCGCTTACCTCATTTTGATGGTTTCTTTAGCTTCAAGTGGTGTCATTAGTTTAACTCGTTGTGCATTAAGCACATTCCTTTTCCATGTATCCAATTCAATTGTGGACTTTTTTCAGGTTCGCAAACGCCTTAACTGGACTGAACAGCATAAACGATATGATTCAGAGGACTGACGGGAGGCTTGAATCTCTTCACTCAGAAGGAGTTCATGTGCGAAGACGATTTCTTCCTTTTTACTTTTTCTCCCCCGTGTGAAAGTTTTCAACCTTGTCAAAAAGAATTCCTTTTGACCGTGATGGAATCCACCGACTAAAGATTGAACCTTGTGATGCAGAGGCTTTCGGAAATGTGCTGTTTTGCAGTCACGCATCTGCTGATTCTGGGCAAGTCCATCATATCCCAAGCCAACAAAGTTGACGGCGAAGACTCTGACTTAAATATCGAGTGGCCAGAGGATCCCACTGAGAAAGCTAAAATGATTAGAGGCAAAGCGGAGTCAATGATGGGTTACGTTGAAGCCGTTGCCGAGAGCTTTATAACAGGTTGGCCCACATCTACTCTACTTTTTTCCGGCTTATAAATTTCTGAATTTCACTTTGAAATCCTCTTTGTCTGTTGCCTGTATATTACGTTGGTGAATAGTGTTTGTCATTCGTCAAAGAGATTTTTTCTATAAAGTTTACTATCTCTGGGAAAGGGAAATTTCTTAAAAAAAATACCCTGGCTTTTGGCCATTTACATGAATAAAAAGCCCTTTGCTTTTCAGTGTCTCTGGACAAAAACTGACCTCAATGGCTGAACCCTTCACTTATAAAGTTTTTTTTTTTTGGCATATTACTGTTTCTAAATGCATAAATTTCATTCCTTTTTAACTAATCTTTTTCGATCTGGACACCAATGAGATTCCTTTAGAAAACTAGATTCCTTAGGATATGGACTGAGCCAGAGATATATGGGTTTAGACCAAAAAAAGGTTGGTACTTTTTTTTGAAAACCATCTGTGTGTACAACAGGCATATCTGATGTGACAGAAGCATATGTACATGCGGCTAAAGGAATCGCGGCCAAGCCCGAGTCCAAGGATGAACACCCCAAGGCATCAACCGGTCTGGACAAAGGAAACGGCTTCACCCAACTTCTTCGATCAGACAAAACCACCGCCATTGCGAAAATCCAGGAAGGACTTCAACACCTATCTCACGTCGTGATATCTACCTCGATGCCCTCTTCCCCTTGACGCCGATCAGATTCCGGTCTGTTTTCTTTCTCCTCTCCTTTCACACTCTTGAATCTGTTTCATTTCATTTTGTAGATATTAAATGGTATCTTAGCTTCTTGGCGAAAAAGCTTCAAACTTTTTACTCTGGTTTTCTCTGCTGTTTATGGCTCTCTCTTTGGAAGTTTGAGGAGAGATCTCACAGTCAGTCTGAAAGGCAGAGAAGAGTTTAGTTGTGTGTTAGTTTTTCTTCTTCTTTTTTTGTTGTTAGGGGATAATCTCTCTGTTGCTTCCAAAGTTTTTTGCTTGGAAGTTGTTTTAGCTGTTTTGTTGATTCATGGATCTTTTAAAAAATTTACAAATATGTAAAAACTATATATATATATATATATATTGCGTGTTTAACACTATCCATCTTTTTTTTTTCGAAGACGATAAGATCGCAATTAGGAAAATGATTTTGGAAGACTCAAACGCAATGTATGGGAAATCAATAGACCTTTGCTTCAGGATTTATTAATTATCTCGTTTTCTTTTCAAATATCCGTGTGAGTTTGAAAATATAGAAACCATAATTAGAAATACATGCTATTCTTATCCACCTCAAACTTTGTCTTTGTTTTCCTAAAAAAAAAATTGGATGCTCAAAATGCTTACGAAATCTAAAATTGTGGGGACATGTCTTCATTTTTTTTTTAGCCATACTGCTATTCCACGTCAGCATAAATAGATTAATAGAATAATAGATCAGTCACCAAAAAATGATAATAGATGACTACAAATGGAAAATTTATCTCAAACATTGAAAACACGAAAAATGGATATCTTGTATATCATGTCTATCACCAACAAAATACTAAATGTCAAATTTATACACTGTTTAGAGCGATTAGGATTCGTATTGATCGTTATTATTGTATGTTTCTTATATTATCCAAAATAAAATTATAGACTATATAATATGACTAAAAAATACAACGATATTTTTATGCTTTAACAGAAAATACTACAAAATTGGTGGTGACGTGTCTGTGGTGGAGCACATGTACTGTCGCGGGATAAAAAAGACCGTACGTGGTCGGAATTACGTCCACTTTCATAAGCCAAATCCAAAACCCTATTTTGGTTCGATCGTGTTTTGGATATGCCCTCATTCATGCTTGTTTTAATTTCGTTTATTTTTAATTTTCATCATCATTACCATTATTTAAAGTAATTTAATTAATCATTTCAGATCTCTAATTGTTCAAATGTCGCATTTCCACATTTAATGTAATCTAACGAATATTTTTATATATATATATATATATATATATAATTAAGGTTTGGACTTCAAATGCCATTCGGTACAACTAATTTTATTTAGAGTATTCAGTTTACTCCACGTTTCTTATATAAATAAATATATAACGCACGTAATCATATGCTAAAAGAAGATTGAAAATTCTCGTTATCTTGTATGACTATGTCTCTATTTAATAAATTATATAAGTGTATATATATGTATTTAATATGACGTCTATATAAATAACATATATATTTTCCAAATTTAAGTTAATCCGAATAGAATTAAAAAGAAAAACAATAAAAACAAAATTTAAAATTATATTTTTAATAATATTGAAATCGAATAGAGTGAAGAAACCGAATGGGGTCAAATACGAAACTGAAATAATAACCGGATTTACATCACTTTTAAAAAATAATGCAAAAAAAAAACATTACCCAATCTAGGAATGAGCAAATGTCAAAACGGCGTTTCCATTTTTTCCTTTTTTTTTTCAATTGCATTTTTTACCTCTCTGAGTCGTCTTTCAGATTCGATTGAATCAAATATAACACTTTCATTAATCCAAATTTAACCATTTACCCAAAATAACAGAAACCTTATTTTTCTTTTTAATTCCTTTTTTTTTAAATGGATAGTTTTCATTTTCCGACAAAAATATGAGATGTTGCTTTCTCGAACGAGTTCGACAGAATCCAAAGCCCCAGAAGATACGAAACAGAGGGATAAACTTAACTTCTTCATACAACAGATTTTTCTGGTGAAATCCGAAGGAACTTCACAGGAGAAGAGATTGATTAACAACTGTTACATCTAACTTTTTTTTCAAATTCGAAAAGGGTAATCTAAAGATCGAAGCTTTGGATCACAGATGAGGAGCTGTTCAGGGAAGAAAGCCGATGACGAAAGGGGAAGGGAAGGAGGGAGCGGAAACGGCGGAGTAAGGGAAGTGCCCATGGCGGAGGAACGGCGGCGGTGGCGGAGACGGCGGAGGAGGGAGGTGGGGGAGATGCTGATGAAGGACAGTTCCGATGGCTTCCGCCACAACCACCACGAACTCCATCGCTATCTTCAGAATCTCGATGCACAGCTCTATTCTCTTTATCATCATCATCATCTCTCTGTTTTGATTGATGTTTCGTCTTCTTCCTCTCCAAATGATTATCAGCAAAGGGGAAAAAGTGTGCGTGCTTGTTTCTCTGCGTGTGCGGGGGAGGAGGGGGGGGGGGGAGATGCTGATGAAGGACAGTCCCGATGCCTCCCGCCACAACCACCACGAACTCCATCGCTATCTTCAGAATCTCGATGCACAGCTCTATTCTCTTTATCATCATCATCATCTCTCTGTTTTGATTGATGTTTCGTCTTCTTCCTCTCCAAATGATTATCAGCAAAGGGGAAAAAGTGTGCGTGCTTGTTTCTCTGCGTGTGTATATATGTATATATATGTATGTATGTATATATGTTATAACGGATCGATTTCATTAATCTTATAGCCTGAATGAAGTGAATGATTTTTACTGTAAAAAGGGTATATATATATATATATATATATAAAGCAAGTTTTTATTCACGTCTCTCTCAACGGCCGACAGTTTTGGGGAAGAGTGTGTGTTTGGATAACATCTATTTAGGGTTTGAGAAATTAAACCCAAAATTTTGTTGTTATTGATCCATTGATGACTGAAAAATTTTAAAACTATGTATATATATATATGCATTCAGACGTTTCTTTTGTATATATAGATATATTTGTGTATATGGGTCAAGAGTTATGCATTTAAGATGATCCCTGCATAACTTTGGTTTCAAACTAAGACATGCTTTTGCGGCGTTTTGCAATTTTTTATATAAATATATAGAGTATAGTTTATTATTCTTTCTTCTTCTTCTTATTATTATTATTATTCTTATTTCACTTCATTCACAACATAACTAAACAACTAATCACACTATTCTCGACCCTAAACTAACTCAAGATAAACATTTTATGTTAACAATAAACATTATTCTAATTATATATATATAAAAATATAAATATTTATATACTTATATTATTACATGCACTAGCGGTAAAATCGTAACGTAAAACACACGCGATATTTATATATATATATATATATATTATAATTTTAGAAAATCATAATATGCGACATACGATGGGATGTTGGAATATAAAATACGCATGCGCCAGGGTAATAATTACAAAATTGGAATCTGGGCGTACATTATTTTTGTAAACAGATCTCTGGTGTCGCATAATCATTTTTGGATTCTGTCTCTATTTATGTACGTATATAAGCCCGATGGATATCAATATATATATTTTTTTAATAAAGATTAAGAATATAAACAAAATAATTGAATATAAATTTATAATAATTTTTGAAATAAATATTTTTAATAAAAAAGAAATAAACTAAAATCTAATATAAGAATTGAAAGTATAACTTTAAAACTAAGGAATTCGAATATAAAAATAACAAATCTAATTCAAAACGAGATCTGTATATTTTCTTTTTCATGATACGGGTGTAAAAAAAGTTTACAAAACTTTATGCAGAAATTGACGTCACAAAGATCTAACGACATATTTTATCAAGAACAAACAAATAGGAACGATAAAATACGTACCTGAATCTATCATCATGTTGACACAAACGAAACCCGGTTGTAATCTTCTGGATCTTTACGCACTTTCAGACTTACAGACAAATGGGAAGAGTGTAAGAATATTTTGTGGTTTTTCCACTGTACGTATGATCCAGAGACCACTACCATTTATAGAATTAACTATCTGATATTTCCTAAAACGCCCATCAAGTTATAGGAAATTACTTTTTTGGTATCTGCACATTAGCTCCTAAACTTTACCGAAATTACGATTTAGGCAGATTTCATAAATGACCACATTTATACCTCATCAATAGCTACCGTTACAAAATCCATGATTTAAATCTAATATTGAATCATATTAATTGTGAATATTTATAAAATATTCTAACAATCTCCCACTTGATTCAATATATGTGATTTTGGATTATCTTTAGAGAGCTCAACAATATGCTATCATTTCGTAATTTCATCAATCTGGTCCATTGAACGTATAATATAGGACCTTAGCGGCTTTTGTCATATTTTGCACGACTAAACCTTCTAAGATCACATATATTAACAAATCCAATGACATAGATCAAAGCTTAGGTGTGCAGCATGAAAATTACACGATAAGTGATATATACGTGTCTATTTTCAACTGGTCATTTTTAACCTTATGGAGATCTTAACATTTCAGAGTAGAAACTAAAACTTTTAAACTTTATTTTCTGCAGAAAACTTTACTTTTAGTCTCTTCTAACACATAACTCCCACTTAAACTATACATCATCAAATGATAGTACACCCATATGAGCAACATGCTCAATAAAGACCGAGGACGGTAAACCTTTAGTAAACGGATCCACTATCATGGAAGTCGTCCCAATGTGTTCAAGACTTATCTGACTACTCTGTATCCTTTCTTTAACAACCAGGAATTTTATGTCAATATGATTTGACTTAGAAGAACTCCTGTTGTTATTGGAGTACATAACTGCTGACTTATTGTCACAGTATATCCGAAGTGGTCTTTTTATTTTGTTCACAATTCGCAGCCCTGTGACAAAATTTCGCAACCATACTCCATGATTGGATGACTCATAACATGCTATAAATTCTGCTTCTATAGTTGAAGTTGTCGCGAGTGTTTGTTTAACACTTTTCCACGATATAGCTCCACCAGCTAACAGAAAAACATAACCAGACGTGGATCGACGACTGTCTTGGCATCCAGCAAAATCAGAATATTTAAAAATAGCTACCGTTACAAAATCCATGATTTAAATATAATATTGAATCATATTAATTGCGAATATTTATAAAATATTCTAACATCGGGAATATACATTATTAATAAGCAATACATACACAAACAAACAGACAGACAGTTTGCATATAAGTAGAAACCAAAAATATAGTCGAATAATAAAACTATTAACTTTAATAACAAAAAATATCATTATATTTACATCGAAAGTGACACAATAACTGCACCTTTACGCAACTAGAATTTTTAACATCCCACCAAATATTTTCTTCCGAAAGAAATTGTTAAAATTTGGACACAAATAAAATAAATGGGCCCCAAAAATTTAAAATAAAAAACTCGGGAAAGGTCGTCGCTTCAGCAGAATTCAGATATATGTTAGATCAACCATCCCTTAAATTCAGGGAAAAAATTAACACTGATTATAAACTATCAATTTTTATTATAAAAATACAATTTTTTTAAAAGGAAATTATCGACTTCCGTTCCATTTATTGATTATTTTCAAGTTTTAATTAATATATAATTGACAATTATTATATTAGCTTCAAACAGTATTTTTACCAAATGTACATCCCTATAACTACAGTTGAAAATTGATAACGCTTACGGAACATTCAATTAGACAAATGTTGGGAAATAAAAACCATGATTGGACCACCTTGACCTTACCCAACAACAGCCATTCAAACAATGACACGTGTATAGGACCGGCCCCCCATTTAAACCCAAATTCAATAATTTCACTGTTTACTTTGATAGAGACTTCATGTATTTGTTTCCCAGCCTTAAAGCCTCCTCCCTCTTTCTGTGCTCTTGTTTGATTCTCTAACACGCATTTGTCTTTGAGAGATTGTGTTGCAGATCAGACCAAAGTGAAACTGTCAATACACACACACACATACAGATGAAATAGCGACAAGAGTCATGAAGAAAAAACACCCATCAGTTTCTTGCTTCTTTCTTCTTTCTTCTTCTTCTTTGTCACAGGAGAGAGAGAGAGAGTCCCTATCAAGATCACATCACATGGCGTAAACTATCTCTCCGCTGCTGTCGATGTCAAGATCGTCGGGCTCACTCTCCAAGTCTTCTTCCATATCATCGTCAATGTCCAAACTTCCTGTTTGAATTCATGTCCATAATCATCAGCCAAGAGGGGGGTTTGATCAAAAAAAAGAAAGAAAGGGTTTGTCTGTTACCAGTGAGATATTGGTTCAGGCTCTGTGAGCCAGCAGCAGGGACCGTGGCCTCAGCGATGATCTGCATTATCTCATCGATGCTTTGCCTCGGCTGATCACATTCATCGAACTGGTTGTTCATCGCGTTGTCATCCATTAGATCTGCTGGTAGATTCTTCAGAAACCACTCGTGGTTCCTTATCTCCGGAATGTTTATCCTCTGCATAGAGATCGGTTCGATCAAGAAACTTTATGAGTTCAAACCATTAAAACCACACTCAAAGACGGTTTTAGCGAAACTTAACCCGTTTGATACGATAAAGATCGCGTTAAGTCCCATGTTGATGGGAAACAATCTCGGGTTTAGGCACTAGATGAAGGGAAAATAACAAGGAGAAGACAATGCTCGGAAGATTCATGCTTTTGCAAGAACTTATATATATACCTTGGAAGGGTCGGCCACAAATATCCTGGATATCAAGTGGCGACATCCGGGAGATATGTGAACATAGTCGGGAATCGAATACTGAACATTCAGGATCCTCTGCAATTGTAATATTTTTTTCCGGAAGATAAAAAAGTAGTTCAAACCATTGAAATCTCGAGAGAAACAGTGAAAGGGAACTGAACTCACATGTATCGTCTTCTTGAAGTTTTTAGGCTCCTCGGGATCTTCGAAAGGATACGCTCCAACCAGCATAACGTACAACGTCACCCCGCAAGACCACACATCCGCGATCTGAAAGAGGCATTTCGATTGAGTGTCTATATAAACTAATCCAAGAAGCAAAGAAATGGGCATGAAGCCATTGATTATTCTCGAAACGGGCTTCAAAGGATATTCTCTGTCGAGGCATCAAACAAAATTCCGAGGAGCCTGGATGCGGATAGTCTTTGCAATAACATGGCAAGAAAACCACTTAATGCGAATAGGGCATCTATCAAGAAAAAGCATCGCTCCATGGAACAAAAGAGAAAGATGCTTATTCCCAAGTCTTGTCTAAATCAAAAGACAAAACGTATCGAAAAGTTGTTTAGGAACTTTGAGATATGCATTACCTTCCCGTCGTATTCTTTCTTTAGTAAAACCTCCGGAGCAATATAAGCCGGGGTTCCAACAGTTGATTTTGGCTGAGAGTGCAACACTGAGGACTGCAAAAAAGCAAGATATGGCAAATTAAAATGGTTCAGATAATCACAAAGATTAGTCATTCAGAGATTAAAGGGCGATATCATACAAATGATCGACACAAAAAGATCGTTTGGAAAATGTATAGAAAACGATATGTATATATACCTTGGAGTACCCGAAATCACATATCTTTAGACGAGGAGCCGGGCTGCCATCTAATAACGTATTCTCCAATTTTAAGTCCCGGTGACAGACTTGCTTTAAAGGCAAACAGCAACACGAAATCAACGACGAGTTTCAGAGTTCACAAAGGAAAAACCTTCACATAGCAGAGAGAATTCCTCTTACCATAGCATGGCAATAGCTAACTCCTGAAATGAGCTGCTGGAAGAAAAACCTTGCCTACAAGGGAAAAACCCAAGAAAATAAACTTGCTACCTTCTTGAGTTTAAAATTGACAAAGAATTCAACATTTTTCAGTAATGACCTCGTCTTCACTGAATCGGCCAGCATTACAGATACGCTCAAACAGTTCTCCACCAGACGCGTATTCCATGACGATAGCCAGATGGGTTGGTGTCAATATGACCTGCAGTCACTCTGTAAATTAGATATACAAAACCGGTTTCTCCGTTGCTTGATGTGAGTGAAAAGCTCAAAGGTATTGGACAAACCTCTCTGAATCTTACGATATTGGGATGTCTTAAAGACCTGTGGTTGATTATCTCCCTTTTAACATTTTCATCGATCTGTTGTTATTCGAGATAATAAAAATGGTGTAAGACTCTCACAAAGCAAAGGTGTTCGTTCGAATCCTTGGTGCCCAAGAAAATACAACCATTAAGAACTTCAGTTTTACACTATCAGAATTCACAGCAGAACTCAGAGAGTTTTCCAAACAATCTTTAGATGCAAAGGCATAGCAGAGTGAAGAACATATGTATCTACCAAAAGTAAAGACTGCAAGCTCTTAAACTGGAGATTTAAGACAAGGGTTTAAGCCAATGGTAACTAATATGAACAATCCCAACAGATAATGAAACCATGGAAAGGATAATGTACTGGAAAAGGGCTATCTTGTTTAATCTTTCTCAATGTTCATAGGGAAAGCTTATTAATGTTCCTAATCACCAAGCTTGTGTTTGGCCAACTAACTTTGATTTTCATGTCGGAAGGTCAAACCAGGTTGAAACATTACAGAAACAAACAAAAACTTAACAGGTAAACTAAGGTTCAGATTACCAAATTTGGAAGCCCAAATCATAAGAACTTGCTTACAAGACACTGATCCATTCTATGAGATCATTGTTAAAAACTGGATTCAAGATCAGAAACTTTGGTAGGTTATTCATATGGATAAGAAAAAACACTGACCTTCTCACCTCTCTCGATATATTTGACAGCAACAAGCTCGTCGGTCTGCTTGTCCCTCATCAATCGGGCCACACCGAAATTTCCCGACCCAATGTCTCTCATGAGCTCGTACCGGTCGCTCTCGTGCATGATCGGCATGTCCATCCCCCCAACAGTCACCGCTTGCCGATCCATTTCCCTCTCTCTCTCTCTCTCTCTCTCTCTCTCTCTCTCTCTCTCTCTCTCTCTCTCTCTCCGATCTCAGCTCTGTTTCAGACAAAAGAACAAAGCAAGACACACGATACAACAGCTTGAGCTAACTAACAGAGACCCAACATGACTGCGACCACGACATCGCTATGTGTTATGCCCTGAAGCCAAAACAACGAGAGACTGAGCTGGAAAGTTTCCGGGTGACAGCAGCGACGTCTTGAAATTTGGACAGTTGGGATTTGAAGAAGAAGAAGGAGAAGAAGGGACGGAGGTAGATAATGGTACTGAAGATGGCGACGAAGAAGCTGGTGGGTATGAGAAAGAGACTGCAGAGAACAGATTTTTTTTTTCGCTGTGACCCGTGAGTTCTTTAACCAAACAACAATGGGTTTCTTGAGATTCCTCTCCCTTTGGATCCCCTGCCCTGTTTTTTCGGGTTGTAATAAGCGAAAGAGAAAGCTCGTGATCTCTCTCTCTCTACGGGAAAAACCAGTAACAAAAAAGGCACTTGCTTTTCGTCCTCTGCTCTCTTTATCCACATCTCGAACGAAGCACACGTATACAGACAACATATTTTTATTGTGATCTGTGGGTGCTATATGAAATGACAAAAATACCCTCCCGTTACAGCGGGAGGAGATAAGGTTTTACAATTCACGAGGGGATCTTTCTCTCCTTTCCCAACTGATTTCTGTTCCCAACAACAATTTCATCATTCATCACATCATATACAATACGTTAAAACAATCTTTTGTTATTGTTCATCCAAAGAAAAAAAATGATATTTTTCTATACTAATTTAATTTTATTTAATTTTTCTATACCAATTTAATCAAATGTATCTGATTTTTTATATATAATATTTTTAATTTGATAAAAATTATATTCGAATTCAAAATTTTTCAAATGTCTAAACATTAGACAAATTGTTAAAATTAATAATAATTATATACATAATTATCATTTTCGTTAAATTTTTTCGGATTCTATTAAGTAATACGGAAACATATATAGTAGTTACAGTAATTATCTAACTAATATATTAGTTAACAGAATCTAAAAAGATTTAATAAAAATAATAATTATATATATAATTATTGTTACTTTTAACCATTCGTATAAATATTTGGAAAATTTTAAATTTAAATATAGTTTTTTGTCAAATTAAAAATAGAAAATAAATTGCGAAAATATTATTCAAATAAAAAATGTTTTTATTAAAATCCGGCCTCAAATTTCTATGAGAATTACATGATCGACGAGAATAGGCCTGAGACATTGTTATATATGTACACGTATGCATGCAATAATGTTTTAGCCTCATCTCATATACTTTGATTGTATCTATCTACATATTTAAAACCCAAATTTCAGTGCTTATATAAAATCATTGAACTATTTATGTACATAATTATAATATATTTTGTTTCCTCGTTATGTTTCTCTCTTGTTAGGAAATTATGAAATAAATGTGTTTGAATCCGAGATGGAAGAATATAGGTCGGCTTCTCGACCATGAAACTTTTATTTTTGCACATAACATTCTAAATAATAATTACGAAGTTTATGCTCTAAAAAAAAAGATTGCTCATTCGATAAATACCAAATTTAATATATGTATTTAGTGCATTAACCGTTACGTTATATTATTATTATTTTTAAACCATTTCTATTTATACGTTGTATCATAAACGAAAACTTGCATTCTTTTACTCAAGTTTGTTTGCTTCTTTGCATTTTCCAAAAATTAAAAACATTTAATATAAAATATAAATATCGATAATTATCCAATAATGTTTTCTCGAATTCAAGACATAAATCAAAAGCCTAATAATATATAGCCCAAGCCCAAATGATATTTGTTTCAAGGCCCAAAAGGCTTTAATATACCCCGAACCTCGACGGCTGAAGCAGAAACGGCCAAATCCAACGGTCGAGATGCAACGATGACTGTTTGCAGACCATACGATATTTTCCCCTCCGGCGCCTACTCCTCCACCGTTGCCGCCGCAAAATTCACTACCACCTGCAACCCTGTTGTGCTCTCCTTAAACCCTAACAGTGTTCTCGCTTTCCCTGTTATGCGCGCCTCCAGTTCCAGTTTCCCTCTCCTCCGTTCCCTCTCCTCCTCCCTCATCCGCCGCCGTAACGGCTGGG